GTTACACACATCAGCACCAGAATCAAGACCAAAAACACCAGCAGTGTGATCAAACTTATTATCTAAAAAAGGAAACTTGATTTCGTTGGACTTAACACTAGGAGAAACAAAAATTTTTCCATCAGCGCGTAGACACTTATACCCTTTGTGTAGCAAACTATAACCAACAAACACACACTTAGAAGAATGAAAATCAAACTTATGACTATTGAAATTGTGAAGAAAAGGAAAACAAGCACAACCAAAGACTCAAAGACTATCATAAGAAGGAATTTGCTTGAAAAGTTTAAAATAGGGTGTGTTATTCTGAAGGACAGCAGTAGGCATTCGATTGATAAGAAAAACTGCTGTTTCAAAGGCTAACCACCAATATTTTAAAGGCATGGATGCATGTGCAAGTAGAGTAATCCCTTTTTCAACTATATGTCTATGTTTGCGCTCACTTTTACCATTTTGTTGGTGAACATGAGCACAAGAGAACCTAATTTGTATACCATTATCCTGAAGGTAAGGAAGGAGAGCTTTATACTCTCCCCCTTGATCAGTTTGAAGGCACTTTAGTTTAGTGTTGAATTGCCTTTCAGCAAGGTGATGAAACTTAATAAAGATTTACTTAACTTCAGCCTTTGTCCTAAGTGCAAATAACCAAGTAAATCTATTGAAGTCATCTAGAAACTGAACATAATATTTAAAACCTTCTATTGAAGAGACAGGGGCTGGACCCCACACATCACTGTGTACCAAGGCTAGAGGTTCAAGTGCATGAGATTGGGAAATGGGAAAATTATCTTGATGCAACTTACCAAGTTGAGATGCATCACAAAATGTGAAAGGTGGTGGAGACAACTTGTGAAGCTGAGACAGTGATGCAGTTTTGGGAAAATTAGATAAAATTTGCTGAAGTACATGAGCATAAGGGTGTCCTAACCTCTTGTGCCAAATTGTGTACTAATGAGGCTGCTTACTAACACTTAAACAATGAGTTTTTGTAATGCAGTTCAGATTATTATGCATGCAATCAAAATCATTAGTTGGAACATCATGTGTGTAATTGACAAAATCAAAAACAGAATTAAAAGTGCAAATATTAGCAGACTTGGGATTGTGAGCACACTCATTATTTAAAGCAACAGAGTCAGATATTTCAGAATGAGATGCTTTATTTTCATTATTCAATGTAGAAACAATTATGTCCTTCTCAATGTACAGAGTAGGACCAGGTTGGTAGCTTTCCAAATTTGATGTAGTCATCAGTGACTTGTTATCAACAGAAACATTACAAGACAAACTATTTCTAGACTGATTGTTATTAGACACGAAGGGCTTATTGTCAGCAGAGACATTACAAAACAAACTATCACTAGATTAACCATTACTAGAAATACTAGGCACTTGAACTGCTGGAGACTTAGAGAAATGCAACAGAGTAGTAGACAACTCAGATGAAGGCAAACAGTTTGTGCATTGGCAGTAAAACTTTGAGATGGATAGGAGGTAGAAATTGGCAAGCCAGGAGGGCTGTATGGAATATCCAGCTAATAAAGCACCTCTTAAGTCCCTCCCCCCCCCCCCCCCCCCCCCCCCCCCCCCCCCCCCCCCCCCCCCCCGCAACAATATGTCTCGTGTGACTTTGTCCTTTACAACACAACAATTAGCATCAAACTCTACTAGCACATTATTATCTTTAGTAAACCTAGAGATACTAAGAAGGTTTTTAGTAATTTTGGGTACACAGAGGATGTTTTTCAAGTGTAGACATTTGGAATGAAAGTTACTAGAAAAAAAAGAGTTACCTACGTGGGAAATGGGAAGATACTCACCGCTGCCTACCTGTAGCTGTTCCTCACCATCATAGTTCTTGCAAAGTGTTCAGGTTATTCAAGTTGGAGGTGACATGGTCTGTTGCACCAGAATCCATGTACCAGGCAGGATCTATGGGTGTAAAATGTGTAGCTATAGGATGCACTTGCTAAGTGTGAAGCACTGTTGAAGTAGGATGAACAGCTCCAGTTTCTGAACCAACAAAAGTAGCTCCAGGCTGTGAACCAGAGAAAGCAGTTGTGCCTGAACCAATCTAGACCAAATGAGCTTGACTAGATTTTGATGGCTGTTGACTAGGGACTCCAAAAGTAGAAGAATTCACATCAGAGTGCTAAGAGCTAGGATAATGTTGAAGATTAGAAAAAAGCATTTCTCTGGGAGCCAGTATTGGGAGAACCAGTGTACTGGGAATTATGGTGCTGAAAATTTCCAAGATAAGCATTTTGCTATCCAGAAAAGACATTCTGTTGGAAAGATGGATGGCCATTATAGGTGGAATTAAACCTGTGATAGCATTGGATAGCTGAATGCCCTGCCTTATTGCAAACTTGGCATATAATTCGTCCTCTGCTAGTGCCTCAACCTCTACCTCTTCCATAGACAGGAGGTCTTGGTCCATATGTGTTGGAGGTTACATAAGATGGGAATGATGGGGAAGGTTGAGTGGGGAAGGTGTATTGTTGGAAAGGCTAGGGTGAATTTGAGTCAGGCTGAGGACTGACATATGTTTGTGGACAATGTGGATTCCCCAGGGATATTAACGAAGGAACATTACTAGACTGATTATTTTCAGAAACCTTTGCTACATTAGAGCTTGACTGATTATTCACATTAGAGACATTGTACCATCCTGGGTTGTGAATTGAAGCTACATGAGCTGAGGAGTTATAAAGATCCACTGAATTAAACTTTTCCAGCCTTATTTCATACTTTTACAATAAGAATTGGGCTTTTTGTAGAGAAATAGTAAAATCTTGGATTCTAACCTAGACGTGAGTGTCACTACCACAGCATCATATTCAGGACCCAATCCATCCAGTACATATTGTAACAGATCTTCATCAGATACAATTAATCCAATAGCAGCTAGACTCTCTGAAATATCTTTCATTTTCTTTACATAGTCACCAATACTTAGATCCCCTTTGTGTGTAGTTTGCAAAAGGTTTTTAAGATGTAAAGCCCTAGCTTTTGAATCTGTAACAAATTCGTTTTCTAAAGCTAACCAAATTTTAGTGGAAGATCTAAACTTAGATACAGATCCAAACATGCACTCTAAAATTGAAGCTAACAACCAGCTTATTATGAGCTTATCAGTTTTTTTCCATAAGACAAATGCTAGATTAAGGCTTTCACCAACAGTATTACCAACTCTATTTTGACCTAACTCATTTGAAATGTCAGAATCAGAAACTAAAATTGGGGGAGGACAAGAAACTTTACCCAACAGGTGGTCCTCTAAATCGTGTGAGCCAACAACGGAAATGACTTGTGAACTCCAGAACCAGTAGTTGTTCCTCGTCAATTTGGGATTGATGACTTGCAAGCTTGCGGCAAGTGTTGTGGTGGTTTGATTCTGCGTTACAGGTATCGTTCTTCCTGAGCTGTTAAGCATCTTTGAAGAATCAAGATCGGTGGCCATTAACAGTGAGTCACGGTTCTGATACCAAGTAAAACTAACAAAGAGAATCTAATTTTGGGAGAAAAACTTAAGAGTAATCTTTATTGAGTATTTGATTGATTGATTACAAAGAAGGCTTAACTCATTTATATATAGAGTAATGAGAAAAGAGAGTGGTAATGAGAAAAGAGTTTATAGAGTAATAAGCAAAAGTGTAAAGTTAATCGGGTGAAGAAGAAGACTTTAGGAACATAATCAAAACGGTGTAGTTTTGATTCTTATGTGGCAAAGTCAACTGTATTGAAAAGTCACTTGGTCAACAGCAGCTAGGATCAAAAGTCAAAACCGGCCCATTCACTTATTCAATACCAACAACTTCCGAAAAAATTTTATCTTGCTCCGGGCCTTAATGCACACCACTTACAAGCAGCTGATAAGTTCAACATCTCATATTTACTTCTTCTAAATGCTCACTAAATGTCTTAACCACTACTTAATACACACCACTTACAAGCAGCTGATAAGTTCAACATAACATCAGCAATAAACCAAAGTCAGTAACCTGCATTGCAATTTATCAGAACAGAAAAGCACTTCATATCAAAGTGGTACTCCCTATTAAGGAGAAGAATCAAGAGCAGCAACATTCAGCTTCTATCTTAACTCAGAAAACTGTGCTAAGTAATTGACATTTATTAAATAAAATTCATGTTGCAAAGAATGACAATGAACATTATAAAATAAAAACAAAAATATTCAGTATCATATGGTCCATGTCTAAAACTGCTAATTAAACAATCTGAAAAACTAGTTTCAACATTATCTGTGGTCTGACTTCTTAGACGAACATGCAATTTTATAACGTAAATTGTGTAGATGTACATGCTGCGAAAGAAGATGCAATTGTCATTTAATGTATATTAATGCACCAACTTTGTTTATGTTATATTATATAAATAAACTAATTAAAATTCTAGTGCTATCTAAGTAGGGCATTATATATCTTGACTCGGTCAGTTCTGAAAAAAGGGAGTAATACATAAACGGATGTATTAATAAAAGACCATGGAGTTTGAGCTGGCATATTTACTTTATATTAATAATGATCTCAATAAGATGGAATTTTCTCCTCAACGTATCAGTCAAGAAGGGTTTAGATCCCAACTGGCATGTATAACAGGTATTAGTGCTACAATCGAGTTGAGCCGAGTATTGAGAAGCTCAAACTCGAATTCAAGCTCAACCAAGCTTCAATTGTCAAGGTAGAGCTCGAGCTCGATAAATATATATATGATCCACTCAAGTTCAATTCGATTACAATTATTAATTATATAATTATTGATATATATAATATATATAATTATTTTAATTTTATATTAATTTATATATAAAATTAAAATATTTATAATATGTCAAATTCAAGTAAGCTCGCAAACTACTCGAGTTGAGTATTATTATGCTCGAACTCGGCTCGATTCAACACACGAGCTACTCAAATTTGAGCTCAACTCTAGTCAAGTCTGAGGCTCGTTTACAAGGCTAATTAGATATAAGAGTGAGCTAGAAATTGATTTTGACAATTAATAGAGACTCCTACATGATAAAACAGTAATACTTTACTCAGTTCATATTTGAGAAACAAAACGAAACCAACACAATCCATCTCCATGCATCTTCCTGGGATCCAACAAAGATGGAAAGTACTATAATAGTTACAGGGACTGAACTACACCACTTCAAAGATCCACAAGATTCCTAGAAAGAAATTAAATAATGCTATACTACCTTGCTAAGGGAGCAATATCAGAATCCAGAAGTGTAGTGTTAATTACTGTGGCATTGGCGTAATCATTTTGGCCAAGTTGTATTGCTAAGCACTCTTTCAATCCCATCACTACCTCAATCATGGTTGGCCTCTTAGAGGAAGCGTGAGAAGCAGAAGCTAGAGCTAGTTCCACAGCTTTCCACGCTGAATTAATGTTGAAATTTCCCCCCAAACGGGGATCAACTATTTTTCTAATATCCCCCCTTGCGAGCCTGGATTTTACCCACTCACTTAAGTGAGTATTTCCGCAGGATTTCAGTATCACCGGTTGGCCTGTGATTATATTCAAAAGAACAAGTCCGAAGCTATAGACATCACTCTTTTCAGTCAACCAGCTGGACACAACCAAGCACCTGCACATAACCAAAGAATCTGATATTATGAAACCTTCAAATCAATTAACACAAGTCTCAGGAATGAAACCAAGTTATACCGCAAGAACTTTCATCTTTTTCGATGCAAAGACGACATCGCTAAAGGTGAAAGATACGACATTACAATCTAATTACTACGCAAATTGAAACATGTGTCACACACATACAGCCCCAACACCACCCACCCCCCCCCCCCAAATTGCTTAAGTACTTACTCTGGGTCAAGGTATCCCGTGGTGCCAGCAACAACGGTTGATATACTAGTGCTACTTTCAGTTGAAAATACACGGGATAGGCCAAAATCAGCTATCTTGGCTTGTAACTTTTCATTCAATAAGATGTTTGAAGGCTTCACATCTCTGTGGACCATTGGTGGCTTACAACCATTGTGCAGATACTCCAAGCCTACATATAAACTTAATATCATAATTCCTAAATAAATCTTATAAGCAACAAACAAAAAACTGATATATTGTGCAATCACTAACCCTGGGCAGCATCCAACGCTATTTGCATTCTTTCTTCCCAGCTCAAGGAATATTGATTTTTATTACCTGTATATGATCAATGCAAATTTTACTGAAATGAACTTATAAATTTCTGTTTATTCATTAAGGGCAATGATATAAAAGTGTGTGACCTGACAAATGTTGTTCCAAGGTTCCCTTAGGCATGTACTCATAAATAAGCCCCATATTGCTGCCTTCAATGCAGTAGCCAACGAGAGCAGTCAAATTTCTATGATGAACTCTCATCAGAAGTTCAACCTGCAATTCGAAGCCACATGCTATTATCAGAAATGTTATTTTCTACATAATTTTAATTTTCATGATGAATGATGATTTACTCTGCAGGATACCTCTGCGTGGAATTCTTTGTAACCTTGGGCGGATGATGGAGAGAGCATCTTCACAGCTACGTCAATATTATCTATGCAGCCGTGATAAACTGTTCCAAATCCTCCTCTACCAAGAACTGTTGTGAAGTTCTTGGTGATTTTTATGATATCAGAATATGCAAATCGCCAATGTTTTGATGCAAATGAATCATTTTTATTTGCAAGTTGGGTTTCCACCTTTGCAACAACTGATAATAACATAACAATTTTAATAAGTATTAAATATCTATTAAGAAATTGAAACGGGTAGTGTCCGGTATGATCATAGTATATATTTTTTCATATGTTCTATGTTTAAGAAAATCTTACCATGTTTTCTCCTTGCCTTAAGGCTGCAGAAGATAGCCAATCCAATTATGAGCGCGGACAACGTTGCAGCAACTGATACTGCCAGTGGAATAACAAACCCGTTCTTTTTTCGGCTTGAAGAAGACAGGTCGTCCACACTTGCATCAATTGATTGACAACAATTTAGAAAGTATAACTTAAAATAACAAACATGGAAATATATGTAAGATGAGTGATATAAATATAAATATACAAACTTTACTTGAGGACTTAGCATTGCTACTATATTGTCACATGATTCCTATTTATGTATAAATGCTTTTTGATGGTTTCTGAGAAAAGGCAAACCTTAATGTAAGTGATCCATCCTCCGACCGTTTCTTGAGTTCAGCAGGAAGTGATCCTGTGAACCCGTTTCCTTTTAAGTTTCTGGAAAGTGATAAAGATAAAAATATGAATGGCCCCTTAATATGTTTTCCCTGTTAAACTCTTTGTCAGATGAAGTCTATAAACTTACAGGACTCTCAAGGATGCCAGTCGAGATAAGAAATCAGGCACTGCTCCAGTTAAGCTATTATCTGATAGATCTCTGTATCCAGCAATTTTTGTTCAATGTTAGTGGTGAGAGACGAATTTCAAGTAACTGCTAATTGATAGTAATTTTTGATGTGAGGTAGCTAGAATACTTACAGATATTGAAGTGATGCCAATTCCGCAAAGAATGGAACTATTTCGCCAGTCAATTTACTCGAAGACAAGTTCCTAGTTTGATGTTCAAAACAGAGTACTTACTAATCGAAACCGTACATTCTGAATTTCTTATAATTGTCATTGGATTTCTTCTAAAGGGCAAGGTTTATTATATTAATTAATTTCAGACTTGTGAAAACCAAAAATAGATGAAATTATAAACTTACAAAGAAATTATTCTAAGATGACTATTATCCTCAGAGCCGCCGCTGCAATTAAGGCCTTCCCAGCGGTATCCTTCAGGGGTACAGGGGTCACCTTGCCAGCTGTTCTTCTTCACATGATAGGTTGTTTTTATATGCATCATAGCATTTACTGAAATTTAAAAGCAAGTGACTTGAAATCAATTTCCAACTGCAGAAAAGTAAATGCATAGGAAAGAGCGCTATGTTGAGTAAAGCATACCATCAACTTGGAGAGTTTGCGATTGTGAGAAATCTTTGACCCTGTAGATCTCAATGGCATTCAGAATGGGTGGAAGGTCGGAATTCTCAGTTTTACTGATTTTAATGTCGATAATTCCGCCTTTTTGTGGTGATAATTGGTAGTGTTCGAAAGTGGACATGTAACGAGGACTATAAGGCCCATAAGGGAGTGCCCCCGTTTCGTGCACCATGAATTCTCTGGTTTGGTTGTCTAAGATCTCAAGTTCCGCAAAATACATGTAAGAATAAAATAAGAAATTTGGATCTGTAGACAAATTCCAATAAAAGGTATAGCTTCCATCATCAGATGATGGTATGGCGGCTGTACTCATGACAGAGATTGGTGCTTGGAAAGAGCTAGTATTGAGAGTTTGGGTATCAGTATTGGTGATGGAGGTGCTCAACGTTTTATCACCAGAAAAGCTTAGGGGCTTCCAAATGCGATCATATATATCGTCGACATATCTAATAAGGCATCACTTCAATCATTAATTTAGCAATATATATATATATATATTTGACTCGATAAATATGATATGAGATTTCACCTGACTGATTTATTTGTTGTAGAGCCTACGTCATATCGTCCTTGGAGTAGAAGGGATTCAGTCGACGGATTCTGTGTCTGGTAAAGCGAACTATTCAAAGGCCTAAGCTCTAGCACTGAAATGAATGGTTCTCCGCGGTTCGTATTATTAAGACACACATATATATAATCTGTTGAAGGAACATGTATGATCTCCGTTGTTAAAATACTGGAAGCATCCTCCAGAATTATTGTCTCCCAGAGAATAGCCCCCAAATACAGATCAAACTTGGGCACACTATTTTGGCCGTCATAATTTCCATACATGAAACGGGCTCTGATCAAATACTTACCATTTTTTCCTTGGGCAGGATTCAGTGTGTAACAGTTTCTTTTACCTTCAGGGAAGCTTCTCACATTATTAAACTGTGCTTCATCGCCTATATTCTGGAACTCGGAAGATACATTCATTGATATTCCAGCATCTGTGAAGTTTTTATCTGAAGTATACTTTATGCCAGTAACACCATCTGTATAGTCCGAACCTTCTGATAAGCCACAATCTATGCTAATGAATCCTGAGAAAAACAGAGAACAAAATTCTTAGAACTTAAATTTACATTAATCTAATATAAACTTTACATATGTCAGTTTCAGATTACAAATATATCGGTAATATTAGCTAACCCCATAGCGATAGTAAGTAATTAATATTTGTTAACCAGACAAGTTCAAACCTGATTGATCCTGAGCATGAATCAGAACAGCAAGAGTGAAACCAGCAAGCAAAGCATAGTGGAAACTCTGTAACTTCTCCATCATCCTCTCTCTTTTTTATATAGTTTGTTTTTTTTCTTATGTGCAATATAAGTGGATCATGACTTCATATATATACAGCAAAGTTAATTAGTGTATCAATAACATTAATCATAATTAAGGGTATTAATTTAGATTATAAACAACAATAAATGCTGCAATGAAAAAGATAGACTTATTGTCTGAACAAGTCAATTGGTGATCAAATTTCAAGTTTCCAGGCTGTTACTTCATATGGAGTCAGTCTATTTTGTGTTACATATATGCAGAGTTTAAACCTCGGCAATTACTTGGATGCTGCTTAATGATACCAAGTCAGTTATCATGCATTAGCTGGCACTATTCACACGCTACAACTTCTAAAATACTTTGATGGAAAATAAAACATGAAATATGTTTCCAGGAGCTGACATTGCATATGAAATTTCTAAGCAATGAACGTAAAAGCAGGGTAAGCAATGAACGTAAAAGGAGGGTAATTGAGAATGCAGAAGACTAGCGAGCGATGACTCCACACATGAGCGGACGAGTTGACTCGTAGACTATACATTGAACACAAAAATGTTAAATATAGTGAGTCCATCAGAGGTCTACCTCTTGAGAAGTACAGCTAATTAATATGTGGGAGTATTGACTGGTTCACAGGTCAATGTTAAACCAGAACCATGAGAAATTCCCGTAATAAATTTTGCATGAGAAAACTAATTAATCAATCATAAAATGTGTGTATATGTATTATATACGTTACTAGACACTCAGAATTAATATGTGGGAGTATTGACTGGGTCTCAGGTCAATGGTAAACCATAACCATGAGAAATTCCCGTTAATAAATTTTGCACGAGAAAACTAATTAATCAATCATAAGATGTATGTATATGTATTATATGCGTTACTTGACACCTAATAATTGATTGATTATATGTACAATAATTAAAAAGAAGATTTTTAGTTTGAACGAGAGATTAAAATCTTTTGCATGAGAAGAGAGTTTAACTATCACTAAATAGTTTGATGGTAAAAGAGTAAAAGAGGATCTAACATAGTCTCTTGAGTTCGAGTTCCCATTATCCCTAATATAGGTAGCCATTGGAACATTTACTCAGCCGTTAAGATTAAATTAATTATGAAGATTGACGAAATTCAAACCAGACTAGTTAAATACATTAATTTATGATATGATATGAATCATTATTAATGTAGTGTGATCGTACTATTAATTTTTTTCAATCTTTTTTACAGGATATTAGATCATTATTGACCTCAGTCAGCAAGCTACCCTACTATTGATCCTGAGCGTGATTCAGTACTGCAAGAGTAAAACCCGCAAGCAAGGCATAGTGGAAACTGTTTAACTTCTCCATCATTCTCGTAGCTAGTATCGAAAAGAATAATCAGGGATTAATGTAAATTGATTATTATGACTCTTTGGTTCAAACGGATTAAACGGTTCTTATCCATGTTTATATTACCACAGCAATTACGATATAAGATTATTGATTAGAATACATGATTTGATAACAACAGTAAAGATGTAATTGTAGCCTGAAAAAGATAGATCAATTCATTCAATTGTCTTCAGACAATCGGTATACTAAGTAAGTTACAAGTTTCCAGGCTGTAACTTAAAGATCATTGTATTGAACCCTACTTACAAGCGGAAAGAATCTATTTGGTATCGGTATATTTGTTTTATGTATGTAGGCAAAAAGTCTATTTGTTTTATATTTGCAGAAGCGGCAATTGCTTGGAAAATGGCGACATGACTGATGAAACCAAGTCAATTCTCATGTTATCTAGATAGCTAGATTCTCATTCTACAACTTCTAAGAGACATTTTCAGTTTTTCACACCTACTCTGTTACCAATTGTTATGGTACGTGCATATTAGATATAATTCACCCTTAAAAAGTAAAAACTAACTTGTAAGGGAAGGCTGTCCAAATTCTCATAAGTCCATTTACCATACATTTAATTTGGCAATTGGGGACTTAACTGGGTTGTTACAATCATATTGGATAAACCAATTTTTTGGGATTTGATTTTTGTTGTTGAGTTCAGGAAAGTCTTGGCTATTTGAAACAATGAATACTTTGTTTTAAATAGATTTGAGTACAAATGAGCATAAACATCCCACAAATGTTGGACGTAATAAAGTTTGCATTATTCAACATCATATAGAGAGCCTTTTTGTCTTTGCGCATAAGATATTTAAATTTTATTAACAAATTTCACTTCCGACCCTTTCTTTTAAAGGGTCTTTCCTAGAATTTTAAACGATAGAATCAAAACCAAAGTGGTCAAATCTTTCTCCCGAGTCTTTCTCCCAAGTTTTATTTCTATTAGTAATGTTTAAATGAACTGATGAGGCATAATGTCACATAGATAAAATTTTAATAAATAATGTAAATTTTGCTTCAGAATTAAAGAGTTTTCCTTACAACTGTTGTATATATAACGAATTATACACACACGCACATATATATATGTAATCTCGCGGAGTTTTGACTTCTCTGAGGTTGATGAGAAAATCACACACAACAATATATTTACTCCTTTACATGACATTAAGTACCATTAGCATAGCCCGTAATTGACGTGCGGGCTCCCAAAAGTCCATGACTAAATTTTTGTTTTGGGCTTTACGTAATTGGTCTTGGGCCTAGAATATTGCATTCCCTTTCATTTGTATATCTATGAATTTATGGATGTAAAATTTTAGCCCCGGCTTAATTGATGTTCATCCCTATGGTTAAACACATCTCTTCTATTATTAAAAAAAAAAAAAATTCAAACCCTATTTAATCATAAAAAAGTAAATTTTTAAGCTTAATTAGGTTTTTTTTTCCCCACAATCTCCTAATTTCAACTTATATTTTTTTTCTTTAGATTTAGATTCATCTTGTTATATTTTTCATAGTTTTAGTGTATATATTTCCATCAAACAAACAAATATTTAAAATAAAACAAAATTTCTCACCTGCACTCATTGACATGACTTCTTTATTCAGTTTTTCTTTTATTTTTTTTATTTATTATTCTTATTATATGATGAGACTGGCACTTATGCTAGAATTTCATATAATTTCTTCATTGACTCACCCCTTGCCATTCTATTTTATTTTTCTTGATGAGATCAACACCTATGCAGGAATAACTAAAAGTCCACCAATTTAGTATATATAGGATATACAATTGACTGCATTCTGGGTATTTTGACCACTAACTACCAGGTTGGAGAATGTTGAATACATCCTTTAATGTTTAATGTTTTGATATTCTTGGAACAAAAGACATTTCAAGCTTTTTTGGATTCCTGAAACTTTTATCAAGTTTCTGAGATAGAAAACCAGAAGAAATATTAAGCTTCACTATTGAAATGCTAATGCTATTGCTATCACCAATGTGATAAATTGCAAATCATAAACCAAGGATAGAAACTAAAATTGAAATCTGTATTCGAATCATAAAAGCACTTATGTATATGTTCTTTCGAAAAAATAATAAACGGCACAAATTTATACATAAGATTGTAAATTACAAATACAGATAGCTCACTTCAAGCACTAAAGGAAAAATTTAACATAATACAATGTGATTGACCGAGGCACCAAAACCATTACATTTATTTGATTTTTCATGAAATTCAACCATCTTCATTTCCTGACCTCTGATAGCACTACCTTGCTGAAGGATTAAGTGCAGTTCCTAGATTTATAGAGACCATTTCATGTTGATTTCTTGGTTCAGCCCCAGGTCTTCCCTTCCGAGCAATCTCCATTTCTAAACATTGACTCAATTCCCTCACTACGTGATTCATGGTTGGCCTTTCAGTGGAAGTTTGAGACACACTAAGCATTGCTATTTCAACAACTTTCCAGGCAGAGCTGATGTCGAAGTCTCCCTGTAACCTTGGATCAACAGTGTTTTCTATATCCCCTTGTCCAATCATGGAACCAACCCACAGGCTTATGTGATTATTCTCATTGGTATTTGCAATCACAGGCCGACTTGTGATCAACTCCAGAAGAACAACCCCAAAACTAAATACATCACTCTTTTCAGTCAATCTATATGTTTGACAATACCTGCAAGGCCAAAAAGATTGCTTAGTCCATAATAATTTAAAACAGATGTGGATAAATTTTACTAAACCACCTTGATTGCTGTGATCTTTCTTTTGATATCCAGGAATTTCTTCTTTTCTAACTTTCCATTCTTTATGCAAATTTTTTCTCAATTAGACAATAAAGATGGTAAGTATTGTTGAGTAACCACCATTAAGCCCTCTAGCCAACATGTCCCCTAACGTATTATGAGGAATAACCCAAATTCAGATTGAACATACCCAGTTCCAAACACCAAATACAAACGCATTTTGACAAAACAAATCAAATACCAAATATCATGCAGGGAAGAAAACTATCGAGCCCCTATTAAGTAGTCACTTGATCCAAAAGTTTAAACTATGGAGCCGAAAATAATATGAAGCTCTGTAACAGCTATGAAGTGAAGAAAACTACTCACTCAGGGTCAAGGTAACCGAAGGTACCAGCAACAGCTGTTGACATATGAGTAACACCTTCAACTGGGAATGATTTTGTTAGCCCAAAATCAGCTATTTTTGGTTGGAAATTTTCACTCAATATGTAGCGATGTGGCATTCTGATGACACGTAGGAGTCAAATTTTGGAGTTGGCTGGTCAAAGTAATTTGTTAAAACAAGAGGGGCAGTTCTGTCTTTTCCCTTCATTCCAGAAACCTAAATCGAATTAGGTTTTGTGCGCAGCTCATTTCTCTCCTTTCTCTCTTGGTTAACAGAGAGAGAAACGGTTAGAGGTGCTGTGCTAGAAATCCAAGATCCGTCCATGGAATCAACGGTGATGGTAGGTGTGAGTTGTCCTTTCTGTTATAGCCTTTTTCTTTGTATAAATTTGTACTGATTTTCTGCCCCTTTGGTATGTATGAGTAGTGAGAGCATTTGGGTATACGGGTGTATAATCAGAGGGTTTGTATCGGGTTGATGCCTTGGTGTAAAAGGGGTGAGCCGATTCTTCTGTAAGGTTTCTCAAACTCCTAGTAAAGTTCTTTTCTGGTTGCCTTTGAAAAGTGGATGTAGGTAATCTTTCAGATTACCGAACCACTATAAATTTGGTGTCTCTCTTCTTATCTTTCTTTACTGTATTTGTTTTCTCTTTTTATGCTTGTTATGGTTGAATGCACAATCTGGACTACTACATGATTCTTTATGTTTTGGGTCTGATTTACAACATATGGTATCAGAGCTTTGTTTTCGAGTACCTAGGTTTCATTAATTCTAGGTTGTGAGATCCAATTTTTTTAAATTTGTAGTAATCTAGGGTTTCTATAGTTCTGTCTGCTACTTAGGGTTTTCGGTTGGTCTCTAAAATTTGGGGCTTTTAGTTTCTAAGTCACTGGGAAGGTTAGAAACTTAGAAATGTCTAAGTATGAACTGGAGAAGTTTACAGGAGATAACGATTATGGGTTGTGGAAGATGAAAATGAGAGCTGTCTTAGTCAAGGATGGGTTGTCTGCTACCTTAGAGGGTGAGGAGAGTTTACCTGAAAGCTTATCTGAAAAAGAAAAGAAAGCACGTCTAGATAAGCTTACAGTTCTTTAATCCTAGGGCTAGGAGATAAAGTTCTAAGAGGGTTAAGAAAATGATACACCAGCAGAGATTTAGAAAAAATGACTCCCTATACCTATCTAAGTCTTCACCAAATAGGTTAGTTTTAAAACAAAAATTTTTTAGTTTTAAATTGGATGAAACAAGTCTTAGGTGACAACATAAATGATTTTAGGAAACTAATTCAAGACTTAGAAGGTCTCAGTGTTACCATTGAAGATGAGGATCAAGCTGTAATTCTTCTGAATTCTCTTCCCAAAGTTTTTCAAATTTTGTTAATACTCTTACGTATGGTAGACAAACTCTAAGCTAGATGAGGTTGGGGTAGCTATTACTACTAAGGATACTGAGTTTAGGAAGGAGGGTAAGTTAGATGGGGAAGGTCTGAATGTCAGGGGTAGGTCTGAGAAAAAGGGTTTAAGAAAGGTCATTTAGAAACAGATCCAAGTCCAAATCCAAGTTTGTCAGGAAGTGTTTCCACTGTCATAAAGAGCGACACTTCAAAAGGGATTGTCCAGATAGGAAGAAAGAGATCAGGAGAGAGGCTAGTGGCAGTGTTGATATAGCCTCAGATGGTTATGAAAGCTCTGATGTTCTTGTAGCTTCTGATAGGGAATCTGAATCTGAGTGGATTTTGGACTCTGGTTGCACTTTTCACATGACTCCAAATAGGAGTTCTCTTATGAACTTTCGAAAGGTAGAAGCTGGCAAGGTTCTAATGGAATAATGCAGTATGTAGTGTATTAGGCATTGGGGATGTCAGATTAAGCCTTCAGATGGTAGTTCTAGAATTCTTTCAGAAGTTAGGTACATACCTGAGTTAAGAGGAACCTGATTTCCTTAGTAGTCTGGACAAAATGGGTTTAGTTACAAGCTCAAGGTGGAGTCATTAAAGTTACCAAAGGGTCCTTGGTGGTTATGAAATGAAAGAAAGGAATGGTCATATGTTTTAAATGGATCCACTATTACTAGAACAGCAGCAGTAACATCTCAGAAACCTAATCAAACCTCTATTTGCATAAAAGGTTGGGACACATTAGTGAGAGAGGTTTAATTGAGTTAGTAAGCAGAATGCTTAGGGGGGGATAGGATTGAGAACTTGAATTCTGTGATCAGTGTTTTTATGGGAAATGAGTAAATCAGTTCAGTGTGGGAAACCACTGTTCTAAGGGTATCTTAGAATATATTCACTCTGATGTGGGGGGGCCAACCAAACATCCATCTTTGGGAGGATATAGATACTTCATTAGCATCATCGATGATTTTTCTAGGAGAGTCTGGTCTTTTTTTTAAAACCAAGATAAGCTTTAGGAAATTTGGTTGGAAATCATGATTGAGAACCAATCTGGAAGAAAATCAGGAAACTAAGGACAGATAATGGGCTGAGTTCATTAATGTAAGTTTGAATACTGTGTAGGGAGAGTGGAATTCTAAGACATAGAACGTTAGACACACACCTCAGCAAATGGTTTAGCAGAAAGGATGAAAGGACCATTCTTGAGAAGGTTAGGAGCATGTTATCTGATTCTAATTACCTACAGGTTCTGGGCAAAGCTGCTCACACAGCAGCTCATCTGATTAATAGGAGTCCTCCTCAGCCCTTAGCTTTAAACACCTATGGAAAAATGGTCAGGGTATCTTGCTGATTATAGAAACCTTAGGGTGTTTGGATGTACTGTTTTTGTGCATGATAAAACTGACAAGCTAAAACCAAGGGCAATCAGATGTGTTTTCTAGTGATATCCTGATGGTACAAAAGGCTATAGGTGTTGGGATGTTGTAGGACAAGGTGTATAATCAGTAGAGATGTTAGGTTTAAGGAGATGAAGTGATTGGCCTAATCAAACTGGTTTGAGTGAAAGTGAAAACACAGTAAGGGCAGAATCCATAACCTAGAGTTAGGTGAAGAAAACCCAAACCTGGACAGTACTGAACCAGACCACAATACTGATGATCAGCCTTTTGAAGATGAACCTACCATAGAGGACAGTGATGGAAATGATAGAGTTGAAACTGAGCTGCAAAATTACCAACTAGTTAGGGATAGAGAGAGAAGAGAAATCAGGTTGCCTAGGAGGTACTCACATGTTGATATAGTTGCTTTTGCCCTTCAATTGCTGAAGACACTGATGAGGAACCTAGAACTGTTAAGGAAGCCATGAGTTGTAGGGATCTAGGCAGTGAAACTAGCTATGCAAAAGAGTTTGATTCTTTAATTAAAAACCAAACCTGGATTTTAATTAACAAACCTAAGGGCAGCAGGGTGGTAAATGTAAATGGGTTTTTAAAAGAAAGGAGGGCATACCAGGGGTAGAAGCTCCTAGGTTTAAAGCGAGGTTAGTGGCCAAGGGTTTACACAGGTTGAGGGTGGATTACAATGAGATCTTCTCACCTGTGTGGACATACAACCATAGGATACTGTTGTCTTTAGTAGCTCAGTTTGGTTTAGAATTAGAACAGCTGGACATCAAAACAGCCTTCTTAAATGGTGATTTAGAGGAGAAAATTCTGATGGAACAACCTGAATGCTTTAAAGGGAACTAAGAATCGGTATGCTTGTTAAAAAAATCCTTGTATGGCTTGAAGCAGTCTCCTAGGCAGTGGTATAGGAAATTTGATTTTTTCATGTTAAATGCGGGTTTATCCGAAGTAGTTTGATGCTGTTTTTATTTCAAATGTTTATACGGAGAATGCTATATATACTGTCACTGTATGTGGATGATATGTTGCTAGCTTGTAAGGTGTCTCAAAATTGATAAATTTAAAAAAGAAATGAGTAAACATTTTGATATGAAAGATTTAGGAAGCTAGGAAGATTTTGGTATGAACATTGAGAGAAACTGAAAACTGGAAGTCTCATACTGTCACAGAAAGAATATGCTGAAAAACTATCAAGAAGTTTATATCATTGACTCTAAGCCTTTTAAAACACCTTTAGGTCAACTTTAAGCTTAGTGTAACCCGTGTCCAGAAACTGAAGAAGATAAGGAAGATGGCTTGTATACCATATGCCAATGCCATAGAAGTCTGATGTATTTGATGGTGTGCACCAGACCAGATTCAGCTTTTGCTGTTAGTGCTGTTAGTAGGTTTATGAGTAATCCTGGAAAACATCATTGAGCTGTTAAGGGATTCTAGGTATGTAAGGGTACTCTGTCCACTGGCATAGTTTACAGTAGGGTAAAAATTCTGGAAACCCCTCATGGGATGTGTAGATGCTGATTATGCTGGAAACATTGATAATAGGAAGTCCATGATTGGTTTTTGCTTTTCTATTTGGAATAACTTGGTTTCTTGGAAAGCTAATCTGCGCTATTGTAACTCTGTCCACTACCGAAGCAGAGTATGTTGCAATTACAGAAGCAGTCAAGGAGGCCATGTGGCTAAGGGGGATGCTGATTGAAATGGGACTGATCCAGCACACATGTTCCTATTAAAAGTGATAGTCAGAGTGCTATTTTTCTATGTAAAAATCAGTATTTCATGAGAGGTCGAAGCACTTGATGTTAGACTTCATTTTATAAGAAACTTGATAGAAGACAAAATTATCAGGTGGAGAAAATCCCTGGTAAAGAGAATCCAGCAAACATGTTCACCAAGACAGTAACCTTAGACAAGTTAAGGCTCTTCAAGAGCCTCTGCAATTGAGGAGAATTAAGAAGAATTTTTCAGGGGCAACTAGAAAGGGAGAAGATCAAATGCCAAGGTGGAGATTTGTAGCGATGTGGCATTCTGATGACCGTAGAGTCAAATTTTGGAGTTGGCTGGTCAAAGTAATTTGTTTAACAAGAGGGGCAGTTCTGTCTTTCCCTTCGTTCCAGAACCTAAATCGAATTAGGTTTTGTGCGCAGCTCATTTCTCTCCTCTCTCTTGGTTAACAGAGAGAGAAACGGTTAGAGGTGCTGTGCTGGAAATCCAAGATCCGTCCATGGATCAACATTGATGGTAGTGTGAGCTGTCCTTTCTGTTATAGCCTTTTTCTTTGTATAAATTTGTACTGATTTTCTGCCTCTTTGTTATGTATAGTGGGGAGAGCATCTGGGTATACGGGTGTGTAATCAGAGGGTTTGTATCGGGTTGATGCCTTGGTGTAAAAGGGGTGAGCCGATTCTTCTGTAAGGTTTCTCAAACTCATAGTAAAGTTCTTTTCTGGTTGCCTTTGAAGAGTGGATGTAGGTAATCTTTCAGATTACCGAACCACTATAAATTTGGTGTCTCTCTTCTTATCTTTCTTTACTGTATTTGTTTTCTCTTTTTATGCTTGTTATGGTTGAATGCACAATCTGGACTACTGCATGATTCTTTATGTTTTGGGTCTGATTTACAACACAATAAGATGTTCGCAGACTTGATATCTCTGTGTACTCTTGGTGGCTTGCAGCCGTGGTGTAGATACTCCAATCCTACATTACGAATTCCTTATATATCAGTTCATTTACAGCCTCAAAATAATAAGAAATGAAAGCATAAATGAAATGCTTTCTAACCTTGTGCTGCCTCCACCGCTACACGAAGTCTACCTTCCCGGCTCATGACATCTGCACTCTTATCTACATCCATACAGAAAATATATGAATTTACAACTCATTCAACTTTTCTCCTTTTGATTATCTCTCTTGTAATCCGTTTGGTTAGAAAGTTTCACAAAATAAAATCTTTAATTATTAAATGGCCTTGTAAAACTAACCTGACAGATGCTGTTTCAAGTTTCCATTGGCCATGTACTCATAAACGAGCCCAATTTTCTTGCCTTCGTCACAATATCCGCAAAGAGTTGTCAGGTTTCTGTGATGAACTGTCAGCAGAAGCTTCACCTGTAAATTAAATCTCGTTAGACTTCGCATGCACATATGTAACTAAGCTCAAAACACTATGTACAAGTACTTGAATTATATTCAGATTTATATCATACCTCTGCTTCAAACTGTTCATACCCTTGATTTGATAATTCAGAAAGAATTTTCACAGCAACTTCAGTATCATCACCCAAGTAACCATGGTAAACTTTTCCAAAACTTCCTTCACCAAGTTCTCTTTTGAAGTTGTTGGTGATTATGGAGAGCTCAGCATACGTAAATCGTCTGATCTTTTCTGTTGACACATATGGTGGCTTTCTTGAAGTTCCTCCCCACATACCTTCTGATTAAAATAAAAATCACAATAATAATTCTTGGCATTAATTATTTGGAATACATGCTAAGATACATGTGAAAATACACGAAAATTTCAGACGCATATGCTGTGTACTCTCAGGTTAATGACACTACTAATTAATGCAAAAAGATACCTCGTTTTGAACTTCTAATTCTCCAGAAAATAGCCAATGCAGCTAATAGTACGAACAAGGAAGCGAATGATGCGACAACTGGAACAACAACATTGTTCTTCTTCTTTCTCTTGCCGCATGAAACTGAAGCGCAAAGATTTGGATTGCCATCCACGCTTCAATTAAACATCAGTGAGAACAGAAGTGAGAAATGGGAATTCAGAACCGTCGCATAAGCTGGCTCCCATGCAAAATGGAGGCTCACTCCTTTTATTGGGCCGTTTGCCAGACTGAAGCCCAAACTGATCCAGCCCAAGCTTGACCAGGTTCTTATTTACTTTTTTTTTTTTTTTAAATAATATATAATAATACAAATTTAACTGATTATCTGTTATAAAATTAAGTAAATTCTTAGCATAGGAAATTGATGAAAAAATTCAAAAAAAAATCTACCAAACATTATATAGACATCATATTAACTTATAATGACTGTTAGATCACAGAGTTGACACAAACGTTTTCTTTAAAAAATACCATGTTTTCTTGTGATTGAGAAAATTTTTGATATGTTAGATGTATCTTTGGCATCATCGAATGCAGTAGGGGACCTAATAGTTATTATATGGTATCATGCCATCATCGAATGCGATATATAAATAGATCTATTAGTCCTTGTTAAGTTGATATGTAAATTAGCCATATGTCAACTGACTTGAGAATTAAAATTTATTTTGTGATATATTATCTTCTATGCTTATCTTTATCTTTATATTATCTTCTATTAGTCCAAGACTTTTTCCTAGTTGGGATTAAAACAGATGTGATATCTTTGTGTTATTGCCTTCAAAATTGATATAAAATATAACACTTATTCCTGGAATATCACTGAAAACAGAAAATTCAAAGGGTATTGAAATTTTTTAATTGACATGGCCTCATAATTGTTGACAAAAAGCATAGTATACCTTAATGATAGGGAACCATTTTGAGATCTTTCAATAAGTTCAACTGGAACCGAACCTGTGAGCTTATTTCCACTTAACTTTCTGCAACAGTCATACCAGAAATATGAATTAATCCTTTAGTTTTGATATCAAGAAACATGCCATTTCAGTTTATATATNTTAAAGTGTGGAGGTTTCATCCTTTTGAAGCTAATCTTCATCAATCCAAAGCAAAGGAGTAGGTATAATCTCATATCCAAGCTTTGCATGTAAACCGTTTTTTTAATCCATGCTTTCATGCTTTCATTCTCCATCTCCACCACTCTTCATGCATGCTGAATCTTTCACTCCACAATCTATGCTGATAAATCCTGGAAAGAGAAGTAAAATTATTAGCTAGTTCTGACTTACATTATCCGTGAAAGTTAATGTTAACAAAAAAAAGATTCAGAAATGAAAGTTGACCTGGTTCCTGAGCATGAACCTGCAGAAGAACAAACGCAAAAGCAGCTAGAAATGCAAAGAATATACACTCAAACATTCTCATGACCATTTTCTCTGGTTTCTTCCAGGGAATATAGTGATCAATGAAACACTAATTTGGCCAATCATATATCAATTCATTAAGCTATATTGTGTAGCTTTACAAGCTCTCATGTCAATAAAATGTACAATACAGATATTGACGAGTCTTCATATTATTAAAGTCCAACATTCCAGCCATATTTCCAATTCCAAGTCAATATGAAAAGTATTTAGATCCAAAGCTTGGAGTCAGTGGAAGAAAAGTTTGACCAAGTTAAAGTCCGAAGATACCTTGTAAAGGGGAGAGTAATTTACAGCCAACGAAATCCATCCACAGATTTAGAGTAGACTTTGCTAGTAGCATTTAAATTCAGGATGAGACAAATCTTGTAAAGCTATCAGAAATTAGTTGAGACAATTATTTTTCAATAATGATATTGCCCATCTATTCACTATTTATCTAGTACAACATTGAGACGTGTGGTTAAAGTGTACAGTTTCAGGTTCAAATCTTCTTCATTTCTAAAATTTAAGTAGGTTATCAGAACAATAGTATACTGTACTAATTACTTACAAGGATTAATAAATGTGTGTACAAATTGGCCTGAACAATTGTTAAAAAAAAAAAATATCCTATTCACTATTTGTCGGTGTGCTAATTACCTAATTTTATTTTTCTGGGTATTATATTTTTCAAGTTAATAAACAAAGTCCTCCGGGAGAATAAATTAACGAAATATTATAATGTTTGACTTTGGGTACTCCAAGAGATTCTATACTGATATGTCACATCGATCCACTAGGCCACTACTTGGTTGGTGATGAACACTTTAAATTCTCTCTTTAAGGCTTTCCAAATCCATTTCGCCATAATTAATGATTTGTTGTTAATTAATTTCCAAAGGTATTACTGTGTAGTGATGACAATTAACCAGCTAAAAATATTGAAAAACTATTCTGATTACAGGAGCTGATTTCGTAAACAACATTCACACACAATATATTTTACGATATATCCTGACAATGGTGATAATATATTAATTATATATGCAACCTAGAGTACCTGGTAAAACAATAGTTTTATTGTCACAGTTAAGATGGATAATGCTTTTTTTATTATTTTTTGTTAAGTAAATTAATTTAAGATGGATAACTTTAAATTTAAAAATAAATTATTAAACAATATTACATGACAAACATACAAGATTCTCACATCAGTTTATAAGGAATAGTTTGTATAAATGATTTATATATGTAGCATTACTTCAATTAATATATATGTGAAGGTTAATTTGGTTTAAAGTATAAGTAATTAACATGTATTAAATAAAATTAATGTTGCAAAGAATGACAATGAACGTTATAAAATAAAAACAAAAATATTCATTATTATATGGTCCATGTCTAAATCTGCTAATTAAACAATCTAAAACACTAATTTCAATATTATCTGTGGTCTGACTTCTTAGACCAACATGCAATTTTATAACGTAAATTGTGTGGATGTACATGCTGCGAAAGAAGATACAATTGTTTATATTATATTATCTAAATAAACTAATTAAAATTCTAGTGCTGTCTAAGTAGGGTATTATATATCTTGACTCGGTCAGTTCTGAAAAAAGGGAGTAATACATAAACGGATGTATTAATAAAAGACCATGGAGTTTGAGCTGGCATATTTACTTTATATTATTAATGATCTCAATAAAATTCTTCGGAATAAATTTGGTATAACACCATTAACGAGTCAAAGTAATTTTAAAGTCCACTTGTTTAGTTAGAAGGATCAGTGAAATACACTAAGATGGAATTTGACTTTAGATCCCAATTGGCGCGTATAATAGATATTAGTGCTATAATCGGGCCGAACCGAGTATTGAGAAGCTCGACCGAGCTTCAATTGTCGAGCTAGAGCTCAAGCTCGGTAAATATATATATATGATTGACTCGAGTTCAACTCCATTACAATTATTAATTATATAATTATTAATATATATAATAATTTTAATTTATATATAAAATTAAAATATTTATAATATGCCGAATTTGAGTAAGCTCACGAACTACTTAAGTTAAGTATTATTATGCTCGAACTCAGCTCGATTCAACACACGAGCTACTTGAGTTCGACTTCAACTCTAGTCGAGTTTGAGGCTCGTTTGCAAGGCCAATTGGATATATGAGTGAGCTAGAAATTGATTTGACAACTAATAGAAATTAATTTCCATAATTAATAGAGACTCCTACATGATAAAACAGTAATACTTTTTCAGATTAATATTTGAGAAACAAAACGAAACCAACATAATCCCCGGATCCAGCAAAGATGGAAAGTGTATTATAATTGTTACATGGATTGAACTACACAACTTCGACGATCCACAAGATTCCTGGAAAGAAATTAAAGTAAGCTTTACTACCTTGCTAAGGGAGTAAATTCAGAATCCAGACGAGTGCTGTTAATTACTGTGGCATTGGCGTAATCATTTTGGCCAAGTTGTATTGCTAAGCACTCGTTCAATCCCATCACTACCTCAATCATGGTTGGCCTCTTAGAGGAAGCGAGAGAAGCAGAAGCTAGTGCTAGTTCCACAGCTTTCCTACGTGGATCAACTATTTTTCCAATATCCCCCCTTGCAAGCTTGGATTTTACCCACTCACTTATGTGAGTATTTTCGTAGGATTTCAGTATCACCGGTTGGCCTGTGATTATATTCAAAAGAACAAGTCCGAAGCTATATACATCACTCTTTTCATTCAACCGGCTGGGCACAACCAAACACCTGCACATAACCAAAGAATCTGATATTATGAACCCTTCCGATCAATTAACACAAGTCTCAGGAATGAAACCAAGTTATACCGCAAGAACTTTCATCTTTTTCGATGCAAAAATAACATCGCTAAAGGTGAAAGATATGCTGTTACAATCTAATTACTACGCAAATTAAAACACACCCGCATTGCTTAAGTACTTACCCTGGGTCAAGGTATCCCGAGGTGCCAGCAACAACGGTTGATATACTAGTGCTACTTTCAGTTGAAAATACACGGGATAGGCCAAAATCAGCTATCTTGGCTTGTAACTTTTCATTCAATAAGATGTTCGAAGGTTTCACATCTCTGTGGACCATGGGTGGCTTACAACCATTGTGCAGATACTCCAAGCCTACATATAAACTTGATATCATAATTCATATATAAATCTTACAAGCAACAAACAAAAAACTGATATATTGTGCAATCACTAACCCTGGGCAGCATCCAATGCTATTTGCATTCTTTCTTCCCAGCTCAAGAAATATTGATTTTTATTACCTGTATATGATCAATGAAAATTTTACTGAAATGAACTTATAAATTTCTATTTATTCATTAAGGGCAATGATATAAAAGTGTGTGACCTGACAAATGTTGTTCCAAGGTTCCCTTAGGCATGTACTCATAAATAAGCCCCATATTGGTGCCTTCAATGCAGTAGCCAATGAGAGCAGTCAAATTCCTATGATGAACTCTCATCAGAAGTTCAAGCTGCAATTCGAAGCCACATGCTATTATCAGAAATGTTATTTTCTACATAATTTTAATATTCATGACGAATGATGATTTACTCTGCAGGATACCTCTGCGTGGAATCCTTTGTAACCTTGGGCGGATGATGGAGAGAGCATCTTCACAGCTACTTCAATATTATCTATGCAGCCGTGATAAACTGTTCCAAATCCTCCTCTACCAAGAACTGTTGCGAAGTTCTTGGTGATTTTTATGACATCAGAATATGCAAATCGCCAATGTTTTGATGCAAATGAATCATTTTTACTTGCTAATTGGGTTTCCACCTTTGCAACAACTGATAATATCATAACAATTTTAGTAAGTAGTAAATATCTATTAAGAAATTAAAACAAGTAGTGTCCGGTATGATCATAGTATAAATTTTTTCATATGTTCTATGTTTATGAAAATCTTACCATGTTTTCTCCTTGCCTTAAGGCTGCAGAAGATAGCCAATCCAATTATGAGCGCGGACAATGTTGCAGCTACTGATACTGCTAGTGGAATAACAAACCCATTCTTTTTTCGGCTTGAAGAAGACAGGTCGTCCACACTTGCATCAATTGATTGACAACAAATTAGAAAGTATAACTTAAAATAACAAACATGGAAATATATGTAAGATGAGTAATATAAATATACATATAAATATCATATACAGACTTTACTTGAGGACTTAGCATTGCTACTATATTGTCACGTGATTCCTACTTATGTATAACTATTCATTGATTTTATATTTTAATGACCTTTCTTTATTCGCTTTGTGATCATGGTGTAGATAATTTACGATCACATAAATGCTTTTTGATGGTTTCTGAGAAAAGGCAAACCTTAATGTAAGTGATCCATCCTCCGACCGTTTCTTGAGTTCAGCTGGAAGTTGTCCTATGAACCCGTTTCCTTTTAAGTTTCTGGAAAGTGATAAAGATAAAAATATGAATGGCCCCTTAATATATTTTCCCTGTTAAACTTTTTTTCAAATGAAGTCTATAAACTTACAGGAATCTCAAGGATGATGCTTATTAAAGAAACTGATGCTTATTAAAGAAATTACTCAAGAAAGTGATAAAGATAAAAATATGAATGGCCCCTTAATATATTTTCCCTGTTAAACTTTTTTTCAAATGAAGTCTATAAACTTACAGGAATCTCAAGGATGATGCTTATTAAAGAAACTGATGCTTATTAAAGAAATTACTCAAGAAAGTGATAAAGATAAAAATATGAATGGCCCCTTAATATATTTTCCCTGTTAAACTTTTTTTCAAATGAAGTCTATAAACTTACAGGAATCTCAAGGATGATGCTTATTAAAGAAACTGATGCTTATTAAAGAAATTACTCAAGAAAGTGATAAAGATAAAAATATGAATGGCCCCTTAATATATTTTCCCTGTTAAACTTTTTTTCAAATGAAGTCTATAAACTTACAGGACTCTCAAGGATGATGCTTATTAAAGAAATTGATGCTTATTAAAGAAATTACTCAAGAAAGGCCATTTTATTAGAAGTTACAAAATAAGATGATGCTTATTAAAGAAATTGATCGTCTTTCACACCCTAGCCTAGGTTGGGATTGATAGGGCTCGAACTATTCATTTCGTTTCGCCATGTTATAACATAGACACGAATGAGATACTAGATTATTCTAATTAAATATATATAAATAAATTAGATAAATGCAGTAAACTCATACTTCAGGGTATACTCCTCCTCCTCATGTTCCTCATTTTTTTTTTTTAGTTTTCTTAATTGATGAAAGATATAAGCTTTGAGTTTTTGTTGAGTTTAATAAATAGGTTTGAAATTGGAAAATTAAATTCTTAGATTTTGACGTGAGTTTTGATTTAATCTTATTTATGTCGATGTATGAGTTAATTAGTTGTTATTTTAAGTTGGATTTGATAAATTTTGATTAGTTTTTGAGTGAGTTTAATTAAATAATTAATGAAATACGAAGTTGTAAAGATTTGAGGATTTGGTTTAATTTTGATATATATGTTAATTGTTTGATAATTAGAGTTAGATTTAATAAGTTTTTATGAGTTTATAAGTTGAATTTTATTGGATTTGTATAAATTGTTTGAAAAGCCTAAGTTTTGATATTTGAGGCTTCGGTTTATAATTGATGTTTTGACCCCATTAACTAAATCCTGACTACGTTTCTTTCTAGGGGTATGTCCCTAGTTTATGTATGGTTTTTTCTTTTATGAAATTTATCTATTACAAAAAAAAGAAAAATAAATAAATTTTGGTTTAAACGACAGATTAAAATCTTTCACAGGATACAATAGAGTTTATACAAACTAGTGCATGTCTTGTGAATATTCAAATTAATTATAAAGATTAACGAAAAGAGAAAAATTCAAACCAGACAAACAAAATACATATAAATCATTATGAATGTAGTATGATCGTACTTTTATTTTTTTTTTTTTTTTCAATATTTTTTACAGGATATTAGATCAATATTGACCTGAGTCAGTAAGCTACCTTACTATTGACCTGAGTCAGCAAGCAACCCTACTATTCAGCTGAGTCAGCAATCAACCCTACTATTGACCTGAGTCAGCAAGCAACCCTACTTTGACCTGAGTCAACTTCTCTTCACGCGATGATATTGACATTGCCCATCTTCTTCTCTTTTCTCTTCTTCTCTCTAATTTAATTTATTTTTATTAAAAAGTCAATTACTATTGTGATGATAATTAAGAAATCTGATTTGAGAAAATTTTAATATATTTAGATTATTGTACATAATAAAACCCCATCAATGAATCCCATTAATACTGCCGATTCAATTTTAAAATTTCCATTGCCGCTGCCTCTGCATTCACTGGAAATTCCACCACCATTGGCTCACTATGACTGCAAAATTTAGTCTACTGTAATACTGCTTTATTTTATTTTATTAACGTTGTATTTAATGCATGTTATTTAGTCTAAGCGCTTTCATCCTTTCTCACATTGTTAATCTCGGTAACCCATTAAACACTCTACAAGTTTAATGTTTTAAGATAAGTAACAAATATGTTGTTGGTGGCTCAAGATGGTTTGAATCCAAAAAGTTAATGAAGGAAAAAATAAACCTTCTTGACCATCAGGTTACATGTCCTCAATTAATTAGAAGCCAGTGTTGATCAAATGAATCTATGATTGTTTGATTATTATTACATGCAAGCTTAATAACATAAATGAACAATTAATAAGACAATATATATCAACAGTATTATACCATATTTCGCAGATTGAACCACTACAGTCTAAACTTCAACGCTCCACAAGAGCTAGAAAATTTACGACCTACCTCGCTAGGGGAGCAGTTTCAGTATCCATAACAATGCTGTTAACTTTGCATTCGCCTTCATTATTATTCTGAACAAGTTCTATTGCCAAACACTCTTTCAAATCCATCAATACCTCGATCATGGTTGGCCTTGTTGAGGAAAAGTGAGAAGTACAAGCAAGTGCTACTTCCACCGCTTTCCATGCTGAATTGATGTTGAAATGGTCCCCTAAACGTGGATCGACTATCTTTCTAATATCCCCTCCTGCAAGCCTGGATTTAACCCATTCAATTATGTGAATATTTCGGAAGGATTTCAATACCACTGGCTGGCCGGTGATTATATTTAAAAGAACAAGTCCCAAACTATAAACATCACTCTTTTCATTCAACCGGTTGGACATAATCACGCACCTGCATGCATATATCAAAATTAACACTATAAGTTTCCATAACGGAACCTTCAAATGAATTAACAGAGAGTCTGAGGCATATTATTACTCTGGGTCAAGGTAGCCCGCTGTGCCAGCAACAGCGGTTGATATAGTAGTGCTACTTTCAGTTGAAAATACACAGGAGAGGCCAAAATCAGATATCTTGGCTTGTAGCTTGTCGTTCAATAAAATGTTTGAAGGCTTCACATCTCTATGGACCATGGGTGGCTTACAGCCATTGTGCAAATACTCCAATCCTACGTACAAAATTCGACATAGAAAATTTTACAAGCAACTAAAAAAATAAAAAAACTGATATCTTGGGCAAATATTTAACTCACTAACCCTGTGCAGCATCGACTGCTATTCGCATTCTTTCTTCCCAACTCAAGATATACTCAATTTTACCTGTAAATCATCAATGCAAAATTTTACTAAAATTATGTAGCGAAATTTCTATTTATTCCAGCATAAATTTTCAAGTGGTGATGATCATGCACGTTTGATAATATAAATGTTTGACCTGACAAATGTTGTTCCAAGGTTCCCATCGGCATGTACTCATAGATAAGACCCATATTTTTGCCATCAATGCAGTAACCAACAAGTGCAGTCAAGTTTCTGTGATGAACTCTCATTAAAAGTTTTACCTGCAATATTTCGAAATAATGTTAATTTCTTCATGATTGTAATTTGCATGATGAATGGTGTTTTACTATGTTGCACGGATACCTCTGCATGGAACTCTTTGTAACCCTGTGCGGATGATGGAGAGAGCATTTTCACTGCTACTTCATTATCCCCAATGCAGCCATGATAAACTGTTCCAAATCCTCCATTTCCAAGAACGCTCGTGAAGTTTTTGGTAATCCTTATGACATCAGAATATGCATATTGCCGATTCTTTGATTCAAATGAATCATTTTGATTTTCTAATAGTATTTCCCCCTTCCCAACAACTGATAATAATGTCCGAACAAGTTTAATTGGTAACTTGGTAAGTATCTATTAAGAAATTAAAACAAGTGCATCCTGTATGATAATAAAAATTTCCTACATATACTATTTTTATGGAAGTCTTACCATTCTTCCTCCATGTTTTAAGGCCACAGAAGATAGCCAATCCAATAATGACTGCGGACAATGTTGCAGCAACAAATGCTACTAGGGGAGTAACAACCGAGTTCTTGTTTTGGCTTGAAGGCGACAGCGTATTATTTTGATTTAAGTCGTCCATCCTTTCATCAATTGATTGATAATAAATTAGCAGTAAGACTTGAAATAACAAACATAGATATATATAACATAATTAATTATATTCACACATTATATATACAAACTTTATAAATTAATTTAATATTATTCTTTTATTATCACATAATTGATACCCACTTATTAACTAGATTTGACCTTTTTTATAAACTTTTTTATTTATTTGGTGACATATCAGTTTGAATTACTCCTTTATTGTCATCTAATTCATCTTCATTGTTAATTAGGGTGGATTATCAGGAAGAAGCTTCATTTTGTTAAGACAACATTTTCTTTCCATTTTTTGTTATATATTTATCCTACTACTTCACTTTGCTATGCTAGAAGACTATCCGATAAAATTAATGGCATATGTTTGTACACAAATCAACTAATCCTCAGGGACCCTAAAACTATCAGTCGGATAAGAACTTCAATGGTCACCCTTATTAGTCCTGGGAGAAATCTAACTCAAGAGCTCATAGAATCTCTTTTTACTTTTATACCATCATGCCACACAGTGATGGTTATATACTAAAAATTTTCTTTGATTAAATAATTATCATTATTTAGTAATAACCAACACTCTTTAATTATCAATAATGTTCAACAGAATACTGCTAATGAAGATTACTTTAAGTTATTAGTTTATTTTCACATGTCTTCCTTGATGACCTGATATGTGTATAGTTTGGCTGTATATAAACTTTGTATAACTGTTGTACAGAGCAAGGGATAGTTAATATACAAGTGACCATTTTCTCTGATCTAGATAATTCATTACATAAATGTTTGGTGATGGTGTATGAGAAAAGGCAAACCTTAATTGTAGTGATCCATTGTTCAACCTTTTCTCGAGTTCCGCTGGAAGTGATCCTGTGAACTCGTTTCCTTTTAAGTTTCTGGAAAGTTAGATAAAAGATAAAAACATGACTCTTCCCTTCAATATAATTTGTCCTATTAAAAATTTTCCTAATTTAAGTCTATAAACTTACAAGACTCTCAAAGATGGCATTCGAGAAAAAAAATCAGGCACTGATCCACTGAAGCTATTATAAGATAGATCCCTGAATTCAACGATTTTCGTTCATTTTCAGTGGTGAGAGAAGAAACTAAGTCCAAGTAGTTCAATATAAGATAGAATTACTATTTAGATTTTAAACGTAAGATAGAATGCTTACAGATATTGAAGTGATGCCAAATCCGCAAAGGCTGGAGTTATCTTTCCAGTCAATCCACTCAAAGACAAGTTCCTAATCACGTGTTCAAAGCATCATACAATTTGCATCTCTTATTGCAAAGTTTTTTACGTTAACAAAATAAAAAAAAAAAAAAAAAAAAAAAAAAACTTGAAAAGATAAACTTACAAGGAAATGATTCTAAGAGGACTATTGTTCTCATAGCTGCTGCAATTAATGCCTTCCCAGGAGTAATTTTTAGGGGCGCAGGGATCACCTTGCCAGTCTTTTTTTCTCACTTGATAGGTTCTTTTTATACTCATCATAGCATTCACTGAAATGTTCAAATATATACAAACAAGTGATAAATTTGGAATAAGTTTCCAACTTCAAAAATTTATATGCGTAGAAAAAAGCACGAGTTGGGAAAAACGTACCATCATTTTGGAGTGTTAACGGTTGCGAGAAATCTCTTATCCGGTAGACCTCGACGGCATTGAGAATGGGTGGAAGGGTTGAATTCTCAGTTTTTGTAATTTCAATCTTGATGGTTTCTGCTTTCAGTGGTCCCGAAGGGACTGTAAATGTGGACAAGTATTCTGGCCTATAAGGCCCATAAATTTGTTCCCCGTTTTCGCGCAAGTTGAGTTCTCTGATTTGGTTGCTCTGTAATATCTCTATTTCAGCAAAATACTTGTAAGAATAGTATCGGTAATTTGGATCTGCAGACAAATAGCAAGAAAAGACCAAGCTCTGTTCATCGTTATTTGGTTTGACGGCTGTAGTCATTATAGAAACTGGTGGTCGGTAAGGGGCATCATTCAGAGCTTGGGCATCAATATTGTTAATCAAGGGTGGTCTCAATGTTTCCCAGTCAGAAGTGATTTTGGGCGTCCAAATGCGGTCATATATATCGTCCATGTATCTATTCAGGGCATCACTTAAAATCATTACTTATGAAAATAAAAAAAAATAAAAAAACTTATAATTCACTGGACAAATATGATATCACACAAAAAGTTTCACCTGACTGGTGGTTGATCAGGATTAGAACCCAAGTCAAATCGCGCTAGGAGTGCAAGGGATTCAGTGGACGGATTCTCTGTCTTGTAAAGCGAAGTATTCAAGGGCCTAAGCTCTAGAGATGATATAAATGGTACTCCGAGGCCTGTATTAATAAGACACACAAATATATAATCTGTTGAAGGAACATGTATGATCTCGTTGGTTGAAGTGCTGTCAGCATGGTCCAGCTTTATTGTCTCCCAGAGACTACCCCCCAGATATAGATCAAATTGTGGCGTCTTATTTTCTCCGTCGTAGTTTCCGTACATGAAACCGGCTCTGATCAAATACTTACCGTTTTTTCCTTGAGTAGGATTCAGGGTGTAGCAGTTTTTGTTACCTTCTGGAAAACTTCTCACAGTATTAAATGGATCTTTAGAGTCTTTGCTGAAGAATTTGGGATCTACACTCCCTGATAACCCTGTATCAATGAAGTTTTCATCTGAAGTGTACTTTATGCCATTAGCAAGATCAGTAGAGTCAGGACCTTCTGCTTTCCCGCAATCTATGCTAATGAAGTCTGAAAGAAAGATAAAGAATTAAGGCAAAAATAAGGCTCAGTTAGAACTTAAATTGCCAACTATATTGAACTTCATACAATTTACATATAAACTTTACATATGGCAGTTTCAGGTTACAAAAATCCGGTTTGGGTAATTGGCAATAGCAAACTCCGAACTAATTATACAGAAAAGTTCAAACCTGATTGATCCTGAGCATGAATCAATGCTGCAAGAGTGAATATCGCAAGCAGAGCATAGTGGAAGCTCTTCGACTTATCCATCATCCTCTTTTTGAGTTTCTTTCTTCTTAACTAGGTGAATAAGTGGATGATTATATATATATAAAGCAAAGTAGGTATATCAGTAACAAAATCTCAAGGGATTAATTTAACTGGATAATTTTATACTTAAAAAATTCCCATTGTTGTTGAAGAAACATGATTTAATGACAACAGTAAATATGTCATTTTAGCCTGAAAGAGATGGGGCAATTGTTTTATTCAGACAATTAATTGGTAGCTAAATTACAAAATGGATGCCTTCAGCTTGCCCGCATGTTGGGGTATAGAACAGTTGATAGCTAAATTACAAGTTTCCAGGCTGACTTGAAAGATCATTGTTCTAAACCCGACTTACACGCTAGAAGGCATCCATTTTTGTTTTATTTATGCAGAAAGTCTATTTTGTTTCATATGTGCAGAAACTTAACCACATGTTAGATTGAAATTATCATGTTATTTACGTAGCCAGATTCACTTACTATACTATATAATTGTGAAATCATAAATATTTTAACCTTTTCTCTCGTGGCCGAATGACAAACCTTTTAGCTATTAGGATTAAATATACTCAGAAGGTCTTGTGTTCAAGTCGCGGGAGAGATACATATCAAATTACGCAATTATCTTTATCCATTAGGCTTGTAGAGTGTTCCATGGCCCTAGGGATTAGACAGAGATATCTATCACATTTATGCAATCTTTGTCCATTGGGCTTGTAGGATGTTCATGGCCCTGGGATTAGACAGACTCCAATGTGGGCTAGATACCTAAAATAAAAAATAAATCGTACATATTTTTCAAAAGAGTAAACAAATTTTTTCCACCCAAGGTTTACCTTAATGACATTTTTCCACCCAAAATGTTTCAAAATACCATTTTCCCACCAAAGTTAATATTATGTTACTATCCAAAGCAGATTCCTACCGATTCCGACATGGAAATTCTTTCTATCACCTCCATTTGAACCTCTAGTCTTCTCTCTACAAAACCTCTCTTATTTTGACACCTGATTTTTCGCTAATTGTCAATCACCATAAAGCTAAAGTTTCTTGTTTTTAACTGATTTTCGATTGATTTCAGTGGTGAATATTCAATCGGTCACCACCATTAAATCCATTAGCCTCCACTCTATAAAGTATCTCTTATCGTGACTCCTAGTAACTCGCTGAACGTCGGTTAAGAAAGTAAAGTGTGTTTTGGGTATTAACAAAATATAAACTTTGGGTGTAAAAGTGTCATTAAAGCAAACCTTGGGTGGGAAAAGTCAGTTTACTGTTTTCAAAAACCCCAAACCTTGACAAACTTCACTAACGTCCCTTTCTTTGAAAGGGTCCTTTTTACCTAGTATTTTAAACGACAAAATCAACACCACAGTGGTCCATATAGTATTTATTAATGTTTAATTTTTTAATGAGGCATAATGTCATATGGATAAAAAATGTATAAATAATATAAATTTTTAGAATTTGAGATNGAAACTTAACCACATGTTAGATTGAAATTATCATGTTATTTACGTAGCCAGATTCACTTACTATACTATATAATTGTGAAATCATAAATATTTTAACATTTTCCCTCCTGGCCGGATGACAAACTCTTTAGCTAATAAGATTAAATATACTCAAAAAGTCTTGTGTTCGAGTCATAGGAAAGATGGATATCTAATTACATAATTATTTTTATCCATTGGGCTTGTAGAGTGTTTCATGGCCTTAGGGATTAGACAGAGATACCTATCATATTTATGCAATTATCTTTGTCTATTAGGCTTGTAGGATGTTCCATGGCCCTGAGATTAGGCAGACTCAAATGTGGGCTAGATACCTAAAATAAAAAATAAATCATATATATATTTTTTAATATTTTTCAAAAGAGTAAATATATTTTCCCGCCCAAGGTTTACCTTAATGACATTTTTCCACCCAAAATGTTTCAAAATTCCACTTTCCCACCAAAGTTAATATTCTGTTACTATCTAAAGCAAATTCCTGCCGATTCCGACATGGAAGTTCTTTCTGTCACCCCCATTTGAACTTCTAGACTTCTCTCTACAAAACTTCTCGCATTCCGACACCTGATTTTTCACTAATTGTCGATCACCATAAAGCTAAAATTTCATGTTCTTAGCTAATTTTCGATTGATTTCAGTGGTGAATATTCAATCGGTCACCACCATTAAATCCATTGGCCTCATTCTACAAGGCTTCTCTTATCGTGACTCCTAATAACTCGCTGAACGTCGACTAAGAAAGTAAAGTGTATTTTGGTTATTAACAAAATATAAACTTTGGGTGTAAAAGTGTCATTAAAGCAAACCTTGGGTGGGAAAAGTTGTTTACTCTTTTCAAAAACCCCAAACCTTGACAAACTTTACTAACGTCCCTTGCTTTGAAAGGGTCCTTCTTATCTAGTATTTTAAACGACAAAATCAACACCACAGTGGCCCATATAGTATTTATTAATGTTTAATTTTTTAATGAGGCATAATGTCATATGGATAAAATATGTATAAATAATATAAAGTTTGCTTTAGAATTTGAGATCTAGTTTTCATTATATATATATAACCATTGTTTTTTATAATATCATAAGATTAAGGGTGCAACAAGAGAGAATTAAATTATCTTCCCCACAATACTTGATAATTGTATAACCATTATTTTTGTTAAAAATTGGCACCATAATGTTATAGGAGAGAAATAACTTCCACACAAATCTGGATAAGCATTGACGTAAGTCAGTTATCCTACTATTGACTAAGTCAACTGCTCAAAGCCTCATACTCATGATATTGACTTTGGATCATCTTATTGGGCTTTTCTTCTACGTAAAATAGCTTTCAAGTGTCCCCCACAATCTTAGGTGTATTATTCAATAAGTCATAAATGCGATTTACCTGGGTTGCTAATAGAGGTAGTCACTAAGAAAATTTATCTGGCTATCAACTTTAGGGCCCTAGGATAATAGTTGAGGTGCACGTAAGCTGACCCGGACACCTTCGATCATAAAAAAAAAAAAGTGTGCAAGCCGACACGACTTTTCTTTTGGTTTTACTCGATTACCTTTTGAGGATGGATAATGTAAGTTTTTATCTTTTAAAATTTCATATATTATATCTAGGTTGGGTGATAAATTTAAAATGAGAATCGAGATGGGTAATTTTTTACATCCCTAAATGAAGGAATGAAAGTGTAGTGTTTAATTAAGAAAGTAGCCAAAACAGAGCCTGAAGTTTAAGGGATTAAATTGATATATTTCTACACAAAATTTAAATAGGACGTAGGTCTACGCTGACCTGGCTATATTGAATGCGATGTATACATAGTAATATACATATGTGGATTACACTAAATCAATACGTTGAGAGTTGACTCAGTCTTGGTACCCTACCATTGATTGGTGATACCTTCTGCACGAAAGAGTACCATTGACCCGAATACTTAATGTGATGGATGATGAAATTAAAGATATACGTTGTCATATCAATTCATAAATAAAATGAAAGTTCTGTTTATAAATATTTATGGGTTAGGATTCGAAGCCTTATTTTTTTTAGATGTAATTTTGATCTAATAGATTAATGCATTTAAATGGTTGAGATGCACTTGTATACGACATTTCCAAAGTGCATTAATTATGTAAGTTGCATTAATGTGATGGATGATGAAATCAAAACTTTAATTGCCCCATACAGGTTGTCATATTAATTCATAAATAAATTGAAAGTTCTGTTTATAAATATCTAGGGGTTAGGATGAAGCCTTATTTTTTTTAGATGTAATTTTGATCCAATAGATTAATGCATTTAAATCGTTGAGAGATGCATTTATAAATGATATTTCTAAAGTGCATTAATTATGTAAGTTGTATTGAACTCAACCATCTAAAGTGCTATGATCCCAATGGCATCAAAAATAACTTCATCATTTAATAACATAGTAGTAATTAGGGGTGAACATGGGTAATGGTTCTACCTGAAATTGGTCGGTAGAACCGGAATCTACCTGAAACTGGCTTCATAGGGTAGGTTTCAGTACTAATTTTTGGAACCATTACTATGCGGGTCCAGTTTTGGTATCGCTTTCGGTTCTTGCATCACCTGAAACCTAGAATGAGAACCGAGGTTGGGTACTCGAGATGGAACCTGTCTTGGAATCAAGACTAGAACAAAACATCATTAAAGTATGGGGTGTCTATTGTACGTGCATATAAAAAATTAAAATGCAATTAAGACACATGGGTGACGTGGCGAAGAAGTGGATGGGATGGATTATATTAATTACTATTAAATAATAAATATTATATATTATAAATATTTTTAAAATATATATTATAATGTTAAACATAAAGTTTTGATTTATTATTTGATTAATAAGGTGTATGATTGGAATAAAGATCTAAGTAAAAGTATTTTAATTTTATTAAAATAATTATTTTTGAATAAAATAGTTGATTTGATTGAATAATATTTACTTCAATTATCAAGTCCTATATATATATATTAGTAATTATATATGATAAATCGATGAACATTAATACATTACCTAATTAAATGATTAAAAATTTAATTAATTATAACATTATAGTATGACGACTCATGGTATATTAAGAAAGGTGAGTGTCTGTAGTCAAACTTAAATTATTGATATCAAACAAACTTAAAGTCATAGTAATTATTTAATTAAAGATTCACAAATCATATTAATATTAATATGAAGTTTGATTCTTTTGTCACAATTAATGTTAATTTAACTTATAGGCAAATTCAAAAACTTCATTTTCACTCTAGTAATTATAATATTATATAAATTATTTTTATTAACTCATAAATATGATAGTATGAATCAAAGTTTAATGAGTATCAAAGATAAGTGATTAGTCGTTAATTTATTAAAATAAAAAATCAGAACCATATTCTAATTGTGTATGAAACTTTTTCTGAAATAATTTATCTATTAGTAATTATATTTTATTTCTCGATTTAAAAATAGATATTATAATGTTAAAGTTTTGAGAGCATGTAATTAAGACTTAAAAGGATCAAAATATATTAGATTTGTTAATTATTTGATTAATTAAGTGTATAATTAAAATTAAGATCAAACTAAAAGTGTCTTAATGTTATTAACAATAATATTTACTTCAATTATCAAGTTCTAAGCATATCTATAGTAAATTAGTAATTATATATAATAAATTGATGACCATTAGTACTCTATTTAATTAAATGATTATATATTTAATTGACTTATCGGAAATTCAAAAACTTCATTTTCACTCTAGTAATTATAATATTATATAATAATTGTATTTTAGGATAATAAAGTTCACTAAAATTTAATTCTCAAAATTAATTCCATAAATATACTTTGATGTAAAATTTAATAATTTATATATAAAAAATATATTTCTAAGGTTCTGTGACTATGTTGGACACAAATGAATGAGTAATAAAAATTGAAAACTACTAAATGCTCGTTTTCTTAATTTTCGGGGGTGTATTGGTAAATCTTTAAGGTTTACTTGTCACTTTTTAAATTAATAGGGGGTAACTAAAATTTTATAGGGTACCCAGGTAAGTAACCGAGATTTTTTTAAATAACGTTAGACAATGAAATCAACTGAAGCCGTGTTACAGTTGTAAACGCTATTGTGAAAGGAATAGTCGTACTACTCTATTCAAATTGGGTCCACTATAAATCCTTCTAATGCTCAAAACAGAACAAAATATTCATGAACTGAGTAATTAATGCGTTGATTGTTCAACAATGAAATGGTCTTCTTGTTGAATAGTCAGATTGTTCGACCATTACAAGCAAAGAAAAAAGATTATAAATTTAACATTGCGTGGATTGAACCTTTGATCCACAGGATTTCTGAAAAATATGCTACCTTGCTTGAGGAGAAAATTCTGAATCCAGATTAACGTTGTCTAATGTGTAACGGCCTTCATCATTTCGAGCAATTTCTACAGCAAAACACTCTTTCAATCCCATCACTACCTCAGTCATGGTAGGCCTTTCAGACGAAGTGTTAGATGCACAAGCTAGTGCGAGTTCCACAGCTTTCCATGCAGAACTAGTATTAAAATCATCCCCTAAATGTGGATCAACAATATTTCTGATATCCGCTTCTGCAAGCTTGGATTGAACCCATTCACTTATATGAACATTCTGTTGAGATATTTTTGCAATCACCGCTCGGTTTGAAATTATCTTTAAAAGAACAACTCCAAAACTATAAACATCACTCTTTTCATTCATCCGGTTGTACATAGAGCACCTGCATTGAAAACAAATTATAATATAAATTTCCATTTCTCTTTCATTCTGTAATTTGGAAACATTATATCAATAATTTGAGAGAAAACCAATAGTATTAACCAAGTACATACTCAGGATCAATGTACCCTGGGGTACCAGCAAGATCCTCAGTCATTATATTAGTACCACTTTCAGTTGGAAATATTCGGGATAAGCCAAAATCAGCCATTTTAGCTTCTAACTTTTCATTCAATAAGATGTTTGCAGGCTTCACATCTCTATGGACTATGGGTGGCTTACAACCATAATGCAGGTACTCCAATCCTACATTTCAAATATAATGGTGTTTATATATATATATATACACACACACACACACACACACACATATATATATATATGTGTGTGTGTGTGTGTGTGTGTGTGTGTGTGTGTGTGTGTATATATATTAAGCATCGGAAAATGAAAAATAGTAATATCTCATTCGGTACTGATTAAGATTAACCTTGTGCAGCGTTCATTGCTATGCGCAATCTATCTTCCCAACTCAAGATGTAGCCATCTTTACCTGTGCATCAAAATCAGCGGTGAATTTATCACATTGGGCGATTCAATAAATCGATGTCACAAGATATACTTGGAAACGTATAAAGGTCAAATGGTGTGCACGCTTGCATAAATATTTAGGACAAATTTGGAGTAACCTGACAGATAGTTTTCCAAGTTTCCCACGGCCATGTACTCATAGACAAGCCCCATATATGTGCCTTCCATGCAATATCCAATAAGGGTTGTCAAGTTTTTATGGTGGACTCTCATCAGGAGCTTAATCTGTAATTCAACGCACATATGAAACAGTAAGACATGGGAATTTCCTCACAATTTGGCATTAATTATTACTCTGCTATCGCATACCTCTGCATGGAACTCTTTGTAACCTTGGACGGATGATGGAGACAGCATCTTGACAGCTACTTCAGTGTGATCCAAGTAGCGATAATTTTCATCCAGGAAGCCATAATAAACTGTTCCAAATCCTCCTTTACCAAGAACCCGGTAGAAGTTTTTTGTTGTAAATCAGACCCAATATATAATGAATCATGCAATAGTCCAGATTAGGCATTCAACCATAACAAGAATAAAAAGATAACAAAAACAGTAAAGGAAGATAAGAAGAGAGAGAGACACCAAATTTATAGTGGTTCGGTAATCTGAAAGATTACCTACATCCACTCTTCAAAGGCAACCAGAAAAGAACTTTACTATGAGTTTGAGAAACCTTACAGAAGAATCGGCTCACCCCTTTTACACCACAGGCATCAACCCGATACAAACCCTCTGATTACACACCCGTATACCCAGATGCTCTCACCACTCATACATTGCACACAAAGCAGAAAATCAGTACAAATTTATACAAACAGAAAGGCTATAACAGAAAGGACAGCTCACACCTACCATCACCGTTGATTCCATGGACGGATCTTGGATTTCCAGCACATCACCTCTAACCGTTTCTCTCTCTGTTAACCAAGAGAGAAAACGAGAGAAATGAGAGCTGCGCACAAACCTAATTCGATTTAGGTTTCTGGAACGTAGGGAAAAGACAGAACTGCCCCTCTTGTTTTAACAAATTACTTTGACCAGCCAACTCCAAAATTTGACTCCTACGTGTCATCAGAATGCCACATCACTTCATTTTTGGTAATCGATAGAACATCTGAATATGTAAATTGCCGATTTCTTGATTCAAAAGAATCATTTCTATCTTTTAACTCTGTTTCCATCTCCCCAATAACTGAAAATAAAAAAAGTTCAATAAGTAAATCTATATATCAATAAAATAGTCAATTGTATCCCACAGTATGTTACATTTTTTATATATCGAGTACTTACCACTCTTTTTCCTCGTTTTTAGGCTGAAGAAGATCGCCAATGCTATTAAGAAAGCAGAAAATGTAGCAAGTGATGCAATTACTGGAACAACATACTTGTTTTTCGTTTTCTCACATGAAGCCGAGAGACAAATATTTGGATTTTCGTCCACACTTGCATCAATTGATTGACAACAAAATAAGAAATGATTAGAAATAGTGACAATCTCCTATATTACCAGAAAGCAATCTCTTTGTTCAACAAAATAAATCACTATCCCTTTCATTTGCTGAAAGTTCAACGCCACCCAAAGGTCTCTGTTTCAAAGTTTCAGAATATTATATTGGATGGATGTTAACTGCAGAGAGTTTTGTGATGTTTTTTGAAACTATTCAGGGGGGGTGATATTTTAGAAAACTTATGGGATCCAACAAAATTACCCTCATTGGATGTTTACAAGAAGAGGCAAACCTTAAAGTAAGCAATCCTCTGTTCCATCTTTCCCTGAGTTCATCTGGAAGTGATCCTCTGAGATTGTTTCTTTTTAAGTTTCTGGAAAGTTAGACAATAAACATGAATAGCTAGCCCCTTATTTGTTCTATTAAAATATTACCACTTTCAGCTATAATTAATAACAAAGTAATTAACTCACAGGTTTCTCAAAGATGGCAGTCGAGATAAAACTTCAGGTATTGTTCCACTTAAGCTATTGTCTGATAAATCCCTGTAAATTCAATTTCTATGATGAATATTTCTTACTTGGGTTAATGACAGAAGAATTTATACTTACAGAGATTGTAGTAATGTCAGTTCAGCGAAATGTAGCGATATTTCCCCCGTTAATCCACTCGAAGACATGTTCCTATTTAAGGTTCAATTGTTATTAAAGAGATTGTGACATAACTAAGATAAAAATATAACTTCTGTGCACTTATTGAAAAGCATAATTAGACTTACAATGATACGATTCTGGGGGAATAACTATTCTCGTAGCTGCAGTTAAGGCCATCCCACCAGTAAACTTTGGGGGCACATGGATCTCCTTGCCAGTTTCTTTTGACACCGTATGTTGATTTTATATTAATAATAGCACGAACTAAGATTTTGAAAAGTTCAGAAGAAAAGAGAAAGTGTTATAAAGAAAAAGAAATTCACACCATGTGCATGTAGTGATAAGCATATGTCAGTAAAGCATACCATCATTTTGGTCTGTTTGCAGTTGCGAGAATTGTTTTACCATGTAGATCTCAATGGCATTCATAATGGGTGGAAGGTCTGATGTCTCAGTTTTATTGAGTTTAAGCCAGACACTTCCAGTTCCTTGTGTCACTGGTGATGGGGTGAAAACCGTTCGTGGGAGTAACTTATGAGTAACAGGTCCATAAGCGAGATTCCCATTTAGGTAGATGTTGAATTCTCTGATCTGGTTGCCTAAGAGCTGAACTTCAGCGAAGTGAATGTAAAAATAATATTGGGAAGTTGAATCATTGGAATAATCCCAATTCAAGAACATGGCTTCACTGTCATTTGTTGGCGTGCAAGCAGAACCCATTACAACGGTTGGTGGTTGGAAAGGCGTAGCATTCAGAACCTGCGCATCAACTGGGAATGTTTGGCTTAATGTTTCCCAGTCAGGGAAATTTATGGGCATCCAAATGCGATCATATTTATCATCTTTGTACCTAGTGAGCCAATAAATCACCAATTATAGAAATACAATACCTTATACCTCACACCATAAATAGAGATAAGTAACTGTTTCACCTGACTGATTGATTGGTTGTAGAACAAAAATCATAACGTCCTTGGAGTAGAAGTGAATCAGACAGACTCGCAGTGGTGTGAATTGCACTATCCAAAAGCCTAAGCTCTAGCGATGATATGAACGGTGTTCCACGACCCGTATTAACAAGACAGACAAATATATAACTCGTTGAAAGCACATGAATGATCTCTGCAGTTACACTTCCTGAGTGGTCTTCCAGGCTCAGTGCCACTGTTTGCCAGAGATCAACTGCCAGATAAAGATCAAACTGTGGCACACTATTCTGGTTGTCACAGTTCCCATACATGAAACGGGCTCTGATTAAATACCTATTATTCTTTCCTTGTGCAGGATATATGGTGTAACAATTTCTTATACCTTCAGGGAAACTTCTGACATTGTAAAATTGCCGTTCAAGGTCACTGGTCTGGAATTCGGATAATATACTTCGATTTATTCCACCATCGGTGAAGTTCACATCTGAAATGTACTTTACGCCAGTTTTCTCATCATCATATCCCGAACCTTCTGGTATTCCACAATCTATGCTAATGAAGCCTAAGAAAGTGACACAAACAAAGAGTCAAACAGATCTAGCTAATAAAATTCTTAGATACATAGAGACAGGGTACCGGATTTTGCAGCATCAAACTAATTATATTTCTTAAACATTAAACTTGTAACTTTGAATGCAAATTTCAAATTCCATGAAGCATAATCAAACACTACGGAGGCAATAACTATTTTTCAGAAAGCAGAAGTTTAGAAGTTCAAACCTGATTGATCCTCGGCGTGAATCAATACAGCAAGGGTGAAACCTGCAAGCAATGCATGGTGGAAAGTCCTTAACCCCTTCATCTCCCTATAACTTGTCCTAAGGAAAGTTAATGTATACTTATATTTATATACACCCATCACTGCTGAAAAAAAAAAAAATAATAATAATAAATAAGTAAAGAAGATTTCATGAGTTACAGTCAAAGTCACTGTAGCAATGAGAAAATGCAGTAATTATCAGGATGGCGACTAATATCCACTTTCCTTATGGTCATCAAGTGTGAAAGAAGAATTTCGTCAATTGTTAAAGCAATTGCTAAGAACCTCACAACAATCTGGAAGAAAAAGTTGATAAGTTAGCTCTATATTCTCAAATTCAATGAAAAACTAACTTTTGAAAAAGAATTTGTCTTATGAATAGAGTAGACCGTGGGGGCCGTGAGCGTCTCTCGCAAGTTTATGCATATTTTTCTGGTTGACTCTTACTCCTCACGGCACTCAGTAGACCGTTATATCTTGCCCGAGCTAGCTGTCGGACGTGTTTATGAAGTACAAGCTGAGCCTGTTAAGCCAAATGATATTTTGCTGGAGCAGTTCACAGTAGTCTAGGTAAATTGAAGTTTAAAAGCAATGAAATGTGTGTGAGAAACACACGGCTCTTCTGCATTTTTTTCATTGTGTTCTTCTTATTCTTTCCTTTACATTTTAGTTAAAACCAACAGAGCCTTTTAGTCTAAGGTAAGAAATTAGCAAATTATTAAATATAACCTTCGTCAAGTGTTAAAGCAATTGCTAAGAACCTCACAACGAACCGAAAGAACAAGTTAATACGTTAGCTCTATAGTCTCATATTCAATGAAAAAATAACTTTTGAAAATGAATTTGTACTGTGAATAAAGTAGACCGTTTGGGCGGTGAGCGTCTCTCGCAAGTTTATGCATATTTTTTCAGCTGACTTATATCCTGCCACGAGGTAGGTAAGTGTAGAAAAAGTGGCTTAAATAGTGCAAAGGTGTGCTCACATGGTTTTTGGTTATGTTGGGCGAGAAATTTAAAATCAAAATTGAACTTGGTTTTTTTTGACATCCCTAAATGATGAGATCGAAGTTAAAATTTAATGAATGAAGAAGCCAAAGGGAAACATGAAGTTCAAGGGATTAAATTAATATATTTGTACACAAAACTTAAAGTAGGACCTGGGGTGGCTGCCTGTATATATGTATGTCTGCCACTATATTGAATGTGATGTATGCAGTAATATAGTGTGATGATAAAATCATATTTGAAATTATGTGATATATAATTTTCAGTAATGTTAGGTCCACAACCCAATCTCATAACCTTTTTTTTATAATCTTCAACGTGACAGTTTGTAATTGGTTAGATAGATAGGATCTACAGTAGGTAGACGGAACCCATTTGTAAGTCATCAATTACGAGTTACCATATCACGAGTTGTGAGAGAAGGTTATGATATTAGGTTGTGGACCTAGCAATTTTTGAATAATTTGGACATCAATTGGGCAACTCCTTTAATAAATACTAATATATCTTTAGTTCAACAAACACATATACATAGACTGATAGATTTTTATTAATTAAGGAAAGTGGCAAACAAATTATTCACTGAATTTTTAAAATCCTGTTCTCAATTAAATGACAAGAATATCACTGTTCTTGTTCATTGAAAAGAAAAAAAAAAAAAAAAAAAAAAAAAACTAATGTATTAACAATTGTCAACAGAAGCAGCTAGGATCAAAACCGGCCCATTCAATTATTCACTACCGACATTTTCCGAAATTTTTTTACCTTGCTCCGGGACTTAATACACTACTAAGATTCATACTAATCATCCGATCAACCGAGTCATTTGAATCCAAACCAGGGCCCGACTGTGTCCTAGCCATCTCAGAAGCCAAACACTCACTCAACTCCGTCACAACTTGACTCATGGTTGGCCTTCTATGACCAGTAAGAGCTAAACAAGCCATTGCTACTTCAACAGAATTCCATGCAGAATTAACGCTGAAGTCTCCTTGTAATCTTGGATCAATAATGCTCTTTATGTCACCTTTGGCAACCAAAGAACTCACCCAATCTCTTATGGGAATCTTCTCATGCTCATCGATTCTGGCAATTGCTGGCCTGCAAGTTATTATCTCCAAGAGAACGACTCCAAAGCTATACACGTCACTCTTTTCTGTTAACTTGTTTGTCACATAATACCTGCATATGTATGTCAAATTATGAAACTAGTACAATTATTTGATCCGAATTCTTTATTTTAAAGTCTAGACCTTGATTCTTCGTACAAATACAAGACCTTTTGAATAAGTCCAAAAACAAAACCTTGTGAGTTATGGTCCACATCAAATATGTGGCCTAGTTTGTTCAGTTTGCTGCTTTATTTGACTAATCTGTGCTCGTTAACTTAAAAATTGGGGTAACAGGACCAATGACTTCGGAGAAAACCAAAAAAATAAAGTTGAATTCTATGTACTTACTCAGGGTCAAGGTATCCTGGAGTTCCAGCCACAACTGTGGACACATGAGTGTTATTTTCAGTCGGAAAAGACTTAGACAGCCCAAAATCAGCAAGTTTGGCCTGGAATTTTTCATTTAATAAGATGTTTGTGGACTTCACATCTCTGTGAACTATTGCTGGCTTGCAGCCATTATGCAAATATTCAAGTCCTGTAATTTTAATCAATTCAAAGTAGCTAGTTAGTTCACTTCACAACCTAACCAAAAAAAAAAAAAAAATGATACAAATGAACATCTGCTATCTGACCTTGTGCTGATTCCACTGCCATCCGAAGTCTTCCTTGCCAACTCAACACGCTTCTTTTACTATCTGCATCCATTGGACAGAAAAGTTATCTCAATAATTATATTTACTTCCTTTCTTCTTGCAAAGTAATCAAAAGCAAACAAACCTGATAGATGCTCTAGCAAATTTCCATTGGCCATAAATTCGTAAACCAGAGCCATTTTGTTGTCATCATCACAGTATCCAACAAGGGATGTCAAATTTCTATGATGGACTCTCATCAGGAGTTTCACCTACAATTATATAATTCATATATATGTTTCTCAGATAGGTATGTATTGTATGCAATAGCTCGGAATTATGAAAGCTCAAATGTTTTATGAGTTTTGGTTATGTACCTCTGTTTGAAACTGCTGAAACCCCTGAGCTGTCTCTGAAGATAGCATCTTAACAGCCACTTCAGTTCCATCTGATAAGCGGCCATAGTAAACTGTTCCGAATCCTCCTTTACCAATAATTCTCTGAAAGTTGTTAGTAATTTTCAGAACTTCAGAGTATGAGAACTGTCGATTGTTGGATTCAAACGTCTCGATTCTACTGTTGGTCTCTGTCTCCACCTTCCCAACTGATAATGTCATAAAAAAATTTATCAAGAGAATCTCGATTGGAAAAATCTCATAACTCTAGACTGATTTTTGCATATCTGTATCTTCTAAATACCTTGTTGTCTCCTTTTAAGGAACAAAAATATTCCCAATGCTGCTCCCATCAGGACAACTAATCCGGCAACTGATGCTACCACAGGAACAACGACATTTTTCTTCTTACTTGTGCACGAACCAGAAGAACAAAGGCTTTGATTTTCATCATCAACACTGGATTCATACAGAAAATTATATCAATGTTTACAGGTATAATGCAAAATAAATCTTGTAGGCATAATCAAGAATTATGGAAAATGGTTCACTATAATGTTGAGACGTGGACCTTAATGTTAGGGAGCCATTTTTTGATCTGTCAAGGAGTGCAACTGGAACTGAACCTGAGAAATTGTTTCCTTTCAAGTTTCTGTAGAGGGTCAACAAATTAAAACGGTTATCATTTGATTCCCTACAAAGAAAGTTTCTTATTATTTTAAATCTTAACTGACTTACAGAAATGTCAAAGGAAGCTGAGATAGAAAATCAGGCACTGATCCATTCAAACTATTGTTTGACAAGTCCCTGAGTACATTGTGAACGAACATGGTGATCTGAATTTGGTCATTATAAAGTTTAAAAAACTTACAGATTCAAGTGAGATTAATTGAAGTACTTACAAAGACTCTAATGATCTGAGATTGGATATGTAACGAGGGATCTCCCCAGTCAATCCACTTGAGGATAAGTTCCTGATGGCATGTTAAATGAACTTATTAGAAGAATTTCGACCAAAAAATCAATACGCTGGCCTACTCAATGAAATATATATACTTACAAGGATGTGATTTTTGGAGGAATGGAGGCATCACTATAGCTACAATTGAGACCATCCCACAAGTAAGCTTGAGGTACACATGGATCCCCTTGCCAGTTTCTCTTCACTTCATACATTGATTTGATGTTTGTGATTGCATCAACTGAAATTTTCATATCCAAGTGAGAATTAAGGTATATGAAGCTGGCCTAATTAAAGCGTAAGTTAGGAAAAACTTACAATCTTTTAGCTCTGTTTGTGACTGGGAGAAATTTTTCACAGAGTATGCTTCAATCGCGTTAAGGATGGGAGGTTGAGTTGAACTTTCAGTTCTTTGAATCTTAAAGGTATAATTTCCACCAGTCAAGGCTGATGTGCTGTAGACTGTGGTTGTGGACAAGTAATTAGGCCTAAAAGGTCCATACCAGTGCCTCCCAACCACAGAAATGTTCATTTCTCTGGTCTCATTGGCTGGAAGCGGCAGAACTTCAGCAAAGTGCAAGTAGACGTAAAATTGGAGACTGGTATCATCAATATCCAGGAAAAAATCCAAAGAGGCACTGACATTTTCCGGCGCAGTTGCCGTGCTCATGACAACAGGGGCCGGTTGAAAATCATTACTACTGTCAGAATCAATAGTAAAATTGGTACTCAACTGTCCCCAACCAACAGAATTATATGGATTCCAGATACGATCATAAACATCATCTTTATACCTGATATATCAGACATCATAGTCAATGTAAAATCAAGCTTAAATATACATATATATACCAAACTAAATGGTAAATACACAAAGGCTCACCTGACTATCTGATTGGTTAATGAAGCAACATCAAGCCGAATGAAGAGATTCAACGATCCGGATTCAGTCTTGTAAACGGTATTTTTCAGAGGCCTGATCTCTAATGCATTAATGAAAGGTGTCCCAGAACCAGTATTCACAAGACAGACATGGAAATAATTTGTTGGGAGGACATGGATGAGCTCCCTGATTAGATTAGTTGATACATTTTTTAACGTTACTGTTGCCCATTTATTAGGCCCTGCGTAGAGATCAAACTGCGGAATGTTTCCAAGCTCATCATAGTTACCATACATAAAATATGCCCTGATCAAGTATTTACTGCCCTTTGCAAGGTTGAACCTGTAACAGTTTCTTTCACCATCAGGAAAACTTCTAACATTCCACAGCTGCTGTTCTTTACCCGTCTGGAATTCGGATAATACGCTCTTAATAACTCCAGTTTCAATATAACCATCATCCGAAGTGTAATCTATCCCACTTGTTGGCTCAGTGTAGCTATTAGTACCGTTCGGTAACCCGCAGTCCAAACTAATGAATCCTGTAAAGAACAAGAGAGAGATTATTGTTATAATTCATTCCTCGCGAAAGACGACTAAAACTATGTTATTAAAAGATTTTGAAGGTGAAATCAACCTGATTGTCCCTGTGCTTGAACTTGTAGAGCTGCAAGAGCTAGACTGGCAAGAACTGCAAAGAGGAAACGTTCAAACATAGTCATTATCATCTTCTCCAACTGGCTAACTTTTGCATTACCAAATAGGAACTTGTATATTCATGAACTTTATATTATATATATGAAGAAATGTTATAATACTTTGGCAACTTGTTGGTCGTTCAATTGTCAAATATTCCTTTGCATGCATTGAAAATTTGTGATGCACATACACGATTGAATTTGACTTTACATTTATTAGTAAGCCAATGGGATGGAGAATTAGTCAAAATTATCTTGGAGGAAGCTTGAGAGAAAGCTATCTAACATGGAAATTCGCCAAAATAATCAAAATTATAGGCTTTGTTCACATTATTTGTTGATTGAAATTCATGACAATTTCCTGAAATGTATATATAACTTTCAAGGGTAACCATCTTGATTTTCTAAAATACTGGCCAAAGGATAATAAGTAGTAACAAAATGCAAATTCAAAGCTAGAGCAAGTCGTTATTACTTGGTCCACACTGAAGAATTTTCATGTTTATACATATCTAAATTAGAGTAAATAACTTTTTCCCATCCAAGGTTTGCCTTAATGACAATTTCCCACCCAAAAAGTTTCAAAATACCACTTTCCCACCCAAAGTTAATATTTCGTTACTACCCAAAGCCGATTCAGATCGATTCTAGTGGCGAAAATTCTCTCCGTCACCAACATTTAAACCTCTAGTCTCCTCTATACAAAACCCTCCTTACTCTAGCACTTGATTTCTCGCCGATTGTCAACTACTACAAAGCTAAGGTTTTTTGTTCTTAGCTGATTTTCAACTGATTCTAGCGACGAATATTCAATCGGTCACCACCATTTGATCCACCAACCTCCAATATACAAAAACCCTCATACCTTGACACCTGGTAACTCGCCGAACGCTAGTTGAGAAAGTGAAATGTATTTTGGATATTAACAAAATATAAACGTTAGGTGGGAAATTTGTATTTTGAAACTCTTTTTTGTGGGAAAGTGTCGTTAATTAAGGCAAATCTTGTGTGGGAAAAAGTCATTTACTCATTTAAATTATTAGAAACCATGTTTGGATCCTGAATTAATGTTAATTAATTGTATGATGAGTAATTAACTTCCTTTAATTATATGATTGGCATTGCCCTCTATAAACAACTTAAAAAAGTCTACCAAATAAATTATTGTGAATACATATATATGCTGGAATTTGAGCATCCCAAGTTGTATTTTATTAATTTGCTCCGGCCACTACGTAGCCAGTAGCTCATATTCATAATTAATAAGTAATTCTTAACTGCAATAAGTGATTTTATAATGCCCACCAATAATTCTTGAATACATTAATCAAATGATATTAGAGAGTATTTGTCAACTTCATGACATAAATATAATTAATAAAAACGTATAAATAAATGGTTTGAGAATGAAGGGTACATTTATTAGTTTGTGAATATCAAGACAAGTCAAAGGGTACAAAGTAAACTTTTCAAAGTTGATCACAAAGAATTGAAACCGCGTTTGGTCACAGGAATTAAGTTCATAGCAGCATAAATAAGCAAATAACAAAGCATTTTGCATCCTCAAGTAATTCAGTAAAGACTTGAATTGCTCAATATTTGTTCCCACAAGAATTCCAGAATATGTATACATCTTTAAGAGAATATAGATGTTCATGATTATTTGAAGCATAAATTTAAGGAAAGAAACCAGCAAACAAGTTGTATTTTCTACACAAAGATTTGTTATCTTGCCCGCGGATTTAATTCGGTACCAAGATTCATGGAGATCATATGGTTGACCGAGTCTTTTGAATTGAAACCATGGGCTGATTTAGTCCTAGCCATTTCTGTTGTCAAACACTCATTCAATTCAATCACTACTTGATTCATGGTTGGCCTTTTATTAGCAGTAGGATCTACACAAGCCATTGCTAATTCCACAGCTTTCCAGGCGGAATTGATGTGAAAGTCTACTTGTAATCTCAGATCAACAATGCTTTCGATATCTCCTTTGGCAAGCAAAGAACTCACCCATTGACTTATGTGCATCTTCTCATAGGCACTGATTTTTGCAATTACCGGCCTGCAAGTTATTATCTCCAGGAGAACAACTCCGAAGCTATGCAAATCACTCTTTTCTGTTAGCCTATTTGATATATAATACCTGCAGGCCAAAAAACTTCTTTATACTTACTCAGGGTCAACATGTCCTGAAAATGTGTGGGCTTTGTTCCTACTGGAAAATTGATGAAACAAACAATGACCTGGGAGAAAAACTTCTTTGTACTTACTCAGGGTCAAGGTATCCTGGAGTGCCAGCAACAACTGTCGACACATGGGTTTTAGCTTCGGTTAAAAAAGACTTTGACAGACCAAAATCAGCTAACTTGGCCTGGAAGTTTTCACTTAATAAGATGTTTGCAGATTTCACATCTCTGTGGATAATAGGTGGCTTGCAGCCGTGGTGCAAATATTCCAATCCTACAATTTCAATTTCAGATGAACCCTTCACATTGATATAATAAGCACAATAAGAAAACTAGTTAAGTAAATCATCTGCTATTTAACCTTGTGCTGCCTCCAGTGCTATTTGAAGTCTCCCTTCCCAGCTCAAGACATTTCTGCTGCTACCTGCATTCATATTTCATAAAAGAAATCTAAACAAATGTCTCTTTCTCGGAAAGGCATCAGCCATTAATTTTGAGATCATTCACATTAATTTAGAAATCTAAACATGCGCAAAATTCTTTGCTGCACATGAAGTTCTGAAAAAATTGAGTGCACAGTTACCTGATAAATGTTCTTCCAAGTTTCCATGTGCCATGTATTCATAAATGAGTGCCTTTTGTTCGCCCTCATCGCAATATCCAACAAGGGATGTCAAATTTTTATGATGAACTCTCATGAGGAGTATGACCTAGAATTAAGTCCAATGCTTAGATTTACATAATGATGAAGAGCTGAAAATTTAGACTGACAAAAATCAAAAGATAAAAAATGACTTTAATTTGAGTCTATACCTCTGCTTGAAACTGCTGAAAACCTTGAACTGATGATGGAGAGAGCATCTTAACAGCCACATCAACTTCATCTATACGGCCGTGGTAGACTGTTCCAAATCCTCCTTTACCAAGAATTCTCTCAAAGTTGTTAGTGATTTTCAGGACCTCGGAGTATGAGAATTGTCGACTTTTCGATTCGAAAGACTCAATTTTTTGGTTGGATCCTAGCATCACCTTCCCAACTGACAACAGTATTCCAAATTTGTCAAGCAACAGTTTCTATATAAAGATCTTAATGATGACTTTAATTACCTTGTGCTCTCCTTTTAAAGATAAAATAGATTGCCAATGCCGCTGCTATGAGGACAACTGATCCAGCAACTGCTGCAACAAAAGGAACAACAACATTTTTTTTCTTCTGCTTTTCGCAAGAACCTGAAGGACAAATAAGATCTGGATTTCCACCAACGCTGCAGGACTCATACAGAAAATTAATTCAAGGCTCAAAATTTTAAGTAACAACATTAATGCGTTCCTAACATAGTTTTAGGGGTTTAGCCGCAAAACAAAATCAAATGACTATGCATAATGGTAAGTTACTGGAAAATGGTTCATCGTTTTTGAGAAAATGCATACTTTAATAACAGGAAGCCATTCTTTGATCTTTCAAGGAGTCCACTTGGAACTGAACCTGTGAGCTTATTTCCTTTCAAGTTTCTGCAGAGGCACCAAAAAAAAAAAAAAAATGGACCTTGTCTTTTACCAACTTCTAGAAAAAGAAAAAGTAATTTCTTTTTAACTTTAATGTAGAACTATTGACTACAGCACCGTCAATGGTAACTGGATAGAAAATCAGGCACTGATCCAGTCAAATTGTTGTTTGACAAGTCCCTGATATTTGAGACAAAAAATTGCAAGCTGATTATTGGTTCATTTGTAAGTATAAAAATTTAATGATTCATGTGAGATTAAAATACTTACAGAGCCTCAAGCAATGTGAGGTTGAGTAAGTAAGAAGTTATCTCTCCAGTCAAAGCACTTGAAGATAAGTTCCTGATGGAATGTTAAATAATTTATTCAAGGAAAGTTGAAAAAAAAAAGAGCCGAAATCTGATCAGTATTCTGATTACTAATGATGTGTATACTTACAAGGATTTGATTCTTGGTGGACCGGAGGAGACATCATAGCTACAATTAAGACCATTCCACAAGTAAACTTGAGGGGCACATGGATCTCCTTGCCAGTTTCTTTTCACTTTATATGTCATTTTTATGTTTGTGATGGCATCGACTACGATGTTCATTTGCAAGTAAGAATATATAGTTAATATATATTGCTTATCATAATGTGATAATAAAATCAAATTTGTACTAAAAGTATACATCAGTAAGAAAGTACCATCTTTTTGATCAGTTTGTGGCTGCAACAATTCTTTCACTAAATAAACTTCGAGGGCGTTAAGGATGGGAGGATGTGTTGAAGTTTCGGTTTTATAGATTGAAAACGAATATTTTCCACCGCCCAAGGCGTATGAGTTTAAAACTGTGGTTGTGGACAAGTATGAAGGGCTAAAAGGTCCATACTAGTGCTTCCCATTTAAGGAAATGTTGAACTTCCTGGACTCACTGGCTTGGAGCTTCCTAAATTCAGCAAAGTGCAAATAGACATAAAATTGAAGTGTTGTATCAGTACTATTGATCTCCAGGTAAAAATCCAAGGGTGCGCTAGCATTTGCTGGTGTGGCAGCAGTACTCATGACAATATATGGAGGTTGATAATCATTGTAAGAATCAATGTCCATGGAAGTACTTAATTGTATCGTATTATCAAAATGGAAGGGCCACCAGATACGATCGTAGACATCATCTTCATACCTGTGGCATTATATTGTTCTAAACATCAAACAGTTCTTGCCAAAACAGAAGGTAATACAAAGTGACTCACCTGACTGAAATATTGTCCAATGAAGCAACATCAAACCGCGTAAAAAAATCCAAGGATGCATCCTGAGAATTATAAATGGAACTATTCAAGGTCCTAATTTCTATGTATGATATGAAAGGAGTCC